AGCATCTGTGTGTGTGAGGGCTGTAATCCCTTTGAGTACCTTCGCCAACCTCATGGACTATAAATGGAAATCATCCAAATATACAAATTTTGTCGTCAATACTTTTTCCTACATTGGTTTTGTTTGAAATTATCAATACGGTACTATATTAATAAATCAGTGGAGTAGATTGAGAGTCGCAAATAGAACTACAGGGTCCTGTTTTATCAAAATACTAGTCTAGTAATTACTAGTCTAGTAAATACTGGTCTCGTATTTACCTGTCCTACTAATTTGTGTTTCATAAACGTTTTTATGCCGCTGGTAAATACTGGTGTATTTTACTAGTCATGTGACCAAAACTACTAGTCACGTGAACTCTCAACACTAATTTCTAACTTTAATCACGGGGTTTCAAACCCTATATAAAGGGTTTTAATTTTGTTTTCATTTTATACCAAAATGTAAATAGTTGTAGAAACGCAGTGTTTTCTTATGTGACCAAAACTACTAGTCACGTGAACTCTCAACACCAATTTCTAACCTTAATCACGGGTTTTCAAACCCTATATAAAGGGTTTTAATTTTGTTTTCATTTTATACAAAATGTAAATAGTTGTAGAAACGCAGTGTTTTCTTTTAATTAATAACTATTTAGACACATAAGTAAAACAATCGCATATTATTTATCAAAACGCTATTATTTATTTTCATCAATGAGCCCGCCGACGCGGTTTTTAATATTTGAGTTAAAAACCATTTGGTGATATTCTAATTTAGAGTCAAATAACTATGAATAATATGCCTAAACGTTTATTGATGTAACAAATAATTGCATCGCCGTTACAAGCAATGGTGAAGTAGGTTTTCAAGTATAGTACAGTTGGATTGTTTTAGCTAGAAGCAGTTAAGGTGTGGTGGAATATCTTTGAAGATGAACCTATTTTGCTGTAGTGCGATCATGTGTTCATACGTGTCAAATTTTGATTTGAGGTTAAATCAAAACAAACAAACTGGCATAATGTCAATTAGGCATAGGGGCCGTGTTGTATTACTTTTTAAAGAAATGCCCAAGCCCAATTAATATAAAATGAATTCATTTTGTATATTTCATTGTCTAATTTATTAGAAAACTTTCAGTATTTAGGCTACCGGTACTGCATTTTATAAACCAAATTCGAATCTTGCTTCCTTGCCCTATCGTATAATGTCATCCTGTTTAAGTAGCCTACGTAGTGAACTTTTCTGATTACAATACTGCATTATCATCAATACTACAATTAGCTGTTAATTATAATTTAAATGTTTCAAAAGTCAGTCTTTAAAGGTTTATCTCGTCATCTCAAGAGTATTTAATTCTTGTCACGAACTTGAAACCCAAAAGGCAAGAAGATTTAAAAATCAAAACTAAACGTAAATTATCATTCATTACTCTACGTCCCAACAGTTATGTTAGGTATATCTCAGTCATAGCCACCACATTATTCTATTAATATAATGATCAAAATTAATTATGCAAGACGATTCAATATTTGCTCATATAATTAACTATTTTCAAAGCAACCATCACTTATAATTTGGAGACAATAATTAAATAACAACTTATTCATTAGTTGATTTGGAATAAGGAATCACATGTCTATTTCACAGTAAATATTCTCTAAATTGCCAAATACTTTTATAAAAGTAGGCTAGAGTAAGTTTAAAGTATCTATTGTCAATTCCAATATATGTTTGTTTGTTTGTTTTGATTTAACCTCAAAATTTGACACATATGAACACATGATTGCAATACAGCAAAATAGGTTCATCTTCAAAGATATTCCACCACACCTTAACTGCTTCTAGCTAAAAAAATCCAACTGTACTTAAAACATGGCATTGGAGCTATGGCAGGACGTAGCTCAGAGGTGGAGTACTCGCCTCTCATGTGGGGTCCCTGGTTCAACTCCGCACCACTCACAATTATTTTGTTCCATTAATTAAACTTTTACATGTTTTACATTAAAATGACAGCTCTAATCAACATCTAATTTTATTACTTAGAATAACAGATTCAGAAATACTAAAAAACTCTGTAAAAAAATACTAGTCTACTTCAAATATAGCAAGCATTTACTAGTGTAATTTACAAGAGTAAAACTTGATGAAACACATTGCTGTCCACACTAGTAATACTAGTCCCTACACTAGTAGGTTTTTGAAACGTAGACTTGTGAAATACACTAGTATTTCTATGAAACAGGGCCCTGGGGAGCTCTTTCGGGAAAAACCATAGGCACTCATTTCCACATAGTCGTAAACAAGGGGGGGGGGTGTCTAAAAAAACAAATATAGGACTTATCTCACGTTTTTAATCGATGCTTCAACCTACTCACCGGTACTTTCCTGTTAAAGGGAACATTCATTATTATCGATGATTTTTTCTCGATATATCGATATTAAGAAACTGAAACATATCAGCTGACAACCACGCGATAAATATTGTTCAGTAGAATGAAACTGTTCTAAAAAATAACCTGATATAACTAACCAAAACTGCTATAACATTTCAAAATTCGGTGTTTAACTTACCTTTTCTATTATCAAACCCAAACGGAATTTTTAAATGGTCCAGCAAGTTTGGTTGGTTATGTTAGATTAGCTTAGAACAGTTTCATTTCTTAATCCATATAATAGACTATTTTAGCCTAAACAAGATCAGTTAGTTGTTGTCAATTTGTAATGGATCGGAAAATAAAAATATCGATATATCGAAAAAAATCATCGATAATAATGAATGTTCCCTTTAACAGGAAAGTACCTAATCACCTAAAATATTATCTACTACAAACCGAATTTGTATACTTTTTTTTAGTGTATTTCATGTTTTGTGTGTTATTTCTGTAACCACGTTGAATATTTATGACAATAGCTAACTCTGTATTATCTTAGCGATTTTAAAAAATATGCAGAAGAACTTTGATTCAAACTGTAAAATCCTAGGCTAAATTAATACATTCAATGAAAGTTTATTTGCCAAAGTTTCTGTGCGCACGACCAGATCTGGTTGGATCTAGGCGAGGGGGTTGACGAGGGTACTTTTGTGAAAACATTTGTGTCTTGCTACTCACTCACCCCTACCCTCACGCACTGCCAACAACCGGTGCCCGCAAGTTTTAGTTCGGCTAGTAGCGCGACCCCGACCCGTCCACGCGCACAGAATTTGTTTTTGTAGGCTGTTGCCTGGCCTGTTCTTTGACTCTAGCGCGTTTGGCGCGATAATAGCGTGCAGTACACTACAGCTAAAACTTCTGTGCATGTAGATGGGTCACTACAAGTCGAACGTAACGTTCGTGACGGTTATTGACAGTACTGGGGAGGGGTGAGTGATGAGCGAGACACAAGTGGTTTAAAAAAAGTGCCCTTGCAAACCCCCTCACCTATACCCAACCAGATCTGGTCGCGCACAGGAACTTGGGCTACTGCCACTGCAGTTGTTTGTGGAATATTTCTGCACAACAATTTACCCGTGTAAATTAACGGTAGCATACAAAATACGAAACGTGACAGTGGATTGGGCCGTTTAGTATTTTGAATACAATAGGGGTACTCGTCAAACAGTTAAATATTATTATTTCTATGAATTTGATGGGTAACTTTAAAGATTAGGTGGAATTTCTAACAATAATTCACCGTAATCAGCAGCAAACATGCATAAGGAATTCAAGTTATTACAACAGACGCTCTGACAGCCCGTCAACATAAGACCTGCAGACGGGTCGAGGAATATGCTGAAAAAATAACGAGATAAGTGAGTGTAAACTGACTATTTATATCCGGTCGTCATACGCCACGAGACATTCCGTCAGTGAATGGGAGGCCCACACAAGGGTGAAAATCAATAACACGCTGCATTTGGAATGGAATGAATTGTACAGGTCCTCAAAAAGTCTTATAAAGTACTAAATTCTCAAGTCCCGAAAAAGTCAAGTGCCCAAAATGTCTTATACACATACGGAAATTCAAGTCCTCAAAATATTGCAATAGTGTATTTTCGTATAAATTCTTGAGACCCGAAAAAGTCAAGTCCCCAAAATGTCTTATACACTTACATATATAAATCTATATATATATATATATATATATATATACATATATAAAAATTTGAACGAATAGTGTTTTTGGCCTCTGGGGACATCAAAATGAAAAAGTAAATCGGTCCCGGGCCTAGGTCTTACCGTGCCACCTACGGTAATAGCTACTTCCCTATAGGGAAATTCGCTAAAACTAAGCCAATCACCATTTAGGGATGCGTTTTTTTAAACAGCTGATAATTGGGGAAAAATAAGTTGTTGTTAGGGATCATGGATGAAAAACAGCTGAAATCTAAAATAAAGTAATGTATTTGATCAGATGCACCATAATCCATACGTCTTCCTACCCACTGTCTAAACCACACTTTCCTCCTTTTCCGTTTCTCATCTTTTTCCGTCCAATCAATTAATTTTAAATCACCTTTGATACAACTACAACTCCTCCTGAAACCAACTCCGTCGACATCTTCGAATAACATGTGCACAAGCACCAGCAACTGTGTTCACACTGGGCTACTTATATGCTAGCTTGCTCAAAAGCTGGCAAGTAGGCGTGTAAAGAAGCCGCAGATTAAGTTTTTCCAGAGCATTTTTAAAAGCAGCTTTTGAGTGAGTACTTTGTTCACAATGAGATATTTTATTACAAGCTGCATGTAAAACAGCCGGCGTGTAGCCAGTAAACTGGGATGTTAAGGCTCTACTTTGTGTACCAGCAGCAGAATCAAGTGGCTTTAAGTGTCCATAGCCTTACAGTGTGCCATATACAAACTTTCCAACTGTCTCTACTCCACTAATTTTCTTGTTGCTTTAGTAGGATGAATTTGTTCAACTTGTATTAACTCAACTGGGTGTTATGAATATCTTACAATTATTGTCTCATTGCCAACAGAGGCTTTTAACTTTATGGTACACAATAATTGATTTATTTTTGACTGTTTGACTTAGGGGGCTGGCAGATACTGATGCTGATGGCAAAATGAATATAAACGAGTTCAGCATAGCCTGCAAACTCATCAGCATGAAGCTGAGAGGTGTCGAGGTGCCAAAGGTTCTGCCACCATCCCTCGCACAACTTGTACAACCAGGTGATATAATATTTTGATTCATTTCACAAATCATTCAAAAAGTTATATTAATTGCATCAGTAACAATTCCTTCAGGTAATAACAAAATCCTTCCTGTAGGCCTTCACTTGTTGCAGACACAAGTTACACCCATCAGATGTGTAGTCATACTTCTCTTCTCTTCTTCACTATGTTAATAATAATTCCACAAAAAATATGAATTCTGTACATTACTCACCACTTGTCTTTTTAACAGGAAGATCTTATTTTTGGAGTCAGTGATTAATTGCACATATTTTAACACATATGTTAAATTGTAATTAGGTCATGTTAATCTGTTTTGTTTCGTTGATTTTGATTAGGTTATGTCCACGTTTTTCACCTAGCCTAATAAAGTTTACTCATTGTAAATATTACTCATAGTGTCAGATCTTTTATGACTGAGACAGTGAGACGAGACACTCAGATCTAGGGGGACTGGACGCTTAAGGTGAGATTTAAACCTGAGCCTCTGAAAGATATATCGGTTGTAATCACACCAGTAGGACTACTGTTCTTTTTGTAATAAAAAATGAAACTCATGGTAATGACCTAGTTATTACATTAGCCAATGTCCCCTCTGTTGGTGTTACAGTTGTGATGCCGGTTGTGCCTGCTGCTGTGATGAAGCCTCCTGTACCTCCAGCCCCTCTCATCCCTGGAGTCCCTGGAGGACGACCTATGATATCTCCTCCCTCAGGAGGGAACACTCCCAAGGTCACCTCTCCCCCTGGTCTGGTGGGGGCCCAGCCTCCCCCTCTCCCTCCACAGCCTATCATCACCTCTCAACCTCTGTTAGGGATGAGTGCCCCAATACAACCTCCTGTAGCTAGTGTCCCCCCCATGGCGCCCATGCCTCCAATGGGTATTCCTCAAACTCAGTCCATACCTCCTATGGGGGTTCAACCTACTCAGCCAATGGCACCCATAGCTCCTATGGGTATGCCTCATACTCAGGTCATACCACCCATGGGTGTACCTCCTACCCAACCCATGGCTCCTTTACCACCCATGGGTGTACCTCCTACACAGCCCATGGCAAGTGTGGCTCCCATTCCCATGGCAACTCCAGGCCCTGTAACTCCTCTCATCAATCCAGTTCCGCCAACTCCAGGTTGGTAAATACATTTTTAGTATGAATTCTAATGATTATATAAGTTAGTAACATAAAAAAATGTGAGGGTAGAAAAAATAAAATATAAACCTATGTCAATCAATGCTAATTTTTCAGTAAAAGCTTTGGTCTGCCTTGGATGACATAATCCTTACTTAGTTTTATGGCAACGTAAACAGTGTGTAAACCTATAAAAACCATTGAAACAAATATAAGGATGAAAACTCGAAATGAAAATAAAATGACACGATGCTAATGCAATGTAAGTTTACTATGACTTAACAAATGGTCGACAGAACAGTGTAAAATATGGGTTGGCAGCTACAAAACAGTGCAGGAGGTAGCTATTGACAGTCTAATAATTAATGGTTAAGGGACATAACCGAGCCGAGGGAATAAGTGGTGCGGGGTTTAAAGGAAAGAACGCTGTCACTTTGATTTCACAATAATTTAATCGAATGTTAAATCCCAGTTTTCTTACAACAATGTTCCCAAAATAATAATAACCATAAATGATAATTATAATTATTATGAATATAATGAATAGGCCTATTATAATATACAAAATTGTCTGCAAAATATTAAACACCTATTATGAAGGGGTAGTTTGAAGGACCTATACCGTATGGATTTTGTTAAAGAGGTCATGAATTAAAGAACATAAAAAATAAGGTCCTCTCTCGTGTGTTTTAAACTGCGGTGTTAAAACTTACTATAAATAAATTTATTAAATAAAAAAAATATTTTTTAGCTCCTGTGCCAGCAGCTGCAGCAATGGAACGGACTGCTTCCATAGAATCACCGTGAGTAATAATTTAATCAACCAAAAAATAAAGTTAAATGAGTAGTTTTATAAAAAAAATCTTGGGACCCTTAAATTAATTATAACTCATAAGATGGTCTTAAGTTATGCCTATACTCTGTTTTAAGACAAATGAATATTTAAATTTAAACAAATTCTTTCGTAATAGTTAACGTTTGTAAATTCATATCATAAAATCAATATACAATAATAATATGGATGAGTGGTGTGAATTGTAAATGAGTCATGCTGTAATACTCATTTGTTTTCTTATCAGTCTTCACACCACATTAGCCACTGTCGAGCTCAATAGCTATAGTCTTCTATTGTAGGCCCATCTAAGCTGATTTGCTATGTGGAGAATCCAGGCACTTAAGCTTCCCAGATTTTCTGAGGACTGGTCAGTGATTTTTGTCTTAATATCATACAACAAAAAAACTTGTTGTCACTTATGCTTAGTTTATATAGTGGTTTACTTATTTTTTTCCCAGCTTAAAAATAGTGATAACTACAAACAAGGCTTCAACGTTGGTTGCGTAATGATTAGGTAGATACCATTGTCGAGAAAATCAAATTGATGGATTTGATGAAAAACTAGTTGTTTAGACTCTACTATCAGATAGTGCAATGCTACTTACTAACAAAGTAGAACCTGATGTTCTTTTACATTGTTGTAAATTCTTTGATGAACTTTCCTTTAGGCTGGGGGGAACTGGCCAGTTGGTAGAGTGGGCCGTGCCTCACGCTTCTAAACTCAAGTACACTCAGCTGTTTAACACTACAGACAGAACAAGAACTGGCTTCCTCAATGGAGTTCAAGCTAGGAACATTATGATGGCCTCACAACTACCTCACACTGTGCTTGCTCAGATATGGTAAGATATTTACTTACTCTTATTTAAAAAACTATTTTAGAGACCTGTGAAATTAATAGATTACCGTTCAAGTTTTGTAATTTTGGTTTAGTTGAACTTTAGGGTTGTAGCTGTAAAGAAAATATGATAAAAGTAATAATATGCTTTTTTGGTGTCTATCTGGCAATGTAATATCTTGTTCTAAAATTAAATTAAACATTTTAGACTACAAACATACAATTGTGATGGCTTCTGTCCATTTATTTTCAATAGAAAGTGGGATTTTTAAAAGAAAAAGACGGGGTAGTTCTCTGGGCTAGTTCCATTAAATCACTCAGAGAATTGCAGTGTTGACATTCTCTAATTTTAGTAGGAGAGTTTTTATTGGTTTGTGAAGGCTTACTATAGAGTAAGGGATAAAAAAAAATGAGTGTAAATCATTGAACATTAAAAATTACATGACTTTAAAACATTTCCTCTGTTGGAAGAAGGTCAATTTAATTATCAGAACAGTAAATTATAAAGCTTTGATACTAACACAATTAATTATGTTCAATATACTGCATTATGATTTAAATCAGGGCTTGGAATCGGAGCTCAGCTATTTGTTAATAGAGTACTAAAACATCATATTACATCCTTACTAAATACTTATAATATAATACTTAATATAGGATATGTAGCCTATAGGTCCACTTTTACAATGTGAATTCGAAAGTTGGCTTTTCTCCCTTTGTTAATTTATTTGTTCAAATAACCTGTCAATATTTTTAAAATTTATTTTGCTATGATCCATTGAAATAGAATACCTATTCCAGGGACATTTAGATGTTAATCTTTTATGTTATAAAATACCTCAACCCTCTAGAATTATAAAGCTATTCAAAATCATGGAATATTTGGTTTTGTGTATTTGGATAAGATTTTGTTGTAGCCCGTACTTTATCTGTACAACAGGGGCCTCTCAGACATGGACTCAGATGGGCGTTTGTCCTGTGAAGAGTTTGTCTTGGCAATGCATCTGTGTGATCTGGCGAGGTCGGGAGAGAAGATACCAGTGCCACTACCTCTAGACCTCATACCTCCCTCACTGCGACGTCAACGGAACAACTCTCTGTCATCTCAGGACGGCCAGGGAGATCCCCTCGCAGGTATCGGCGGAGGTTAGTACTGGGCAAAAACTTTGCATTAAGATTGATAGTAGTGTTAGAATAGATGTCAGACCATTGTTTACAATTGACACATTAGGTACTGGTACAGCCAGGATCAAAAGAGACCAATAGAAAAATTGAGCATCATCGAGAGAAAATGACAATTGTCAATTCAAGTATATTGTTTATCCATGGTTAAATATAGATGTAGGAAAAACTAAACTAGGCCTAGTTGAGCTCTTTAGAAGATGGCAGGGGTCGATTCTTAGTACTTTTTGATTCTCAACATTACCTAATTATTTATTAGATATTCATAGACAATAGATAATTAGACTGATTCATAAATTACAAGGCATAAATGTGGTTTGGATTGGTGAGGTTGGACTTTTATTCACTAAAATTCCCTTAATGTTGTCCGATTAAATTTCTATTTAAATAACATTAGTTTTAATGTTTTTACATACAGCATTAGGTTTGCTGCTGTATGGAAGGTAATAAAGTGTTTTTAACCCTCCGTTGGTTGCACCCATTTTTTAACACGACCGGTCGCACTGTATCTCTCAGACTCATTTTTCCTTAAGCATGTTTTTGAGTAGGCCTACTTTAGAAATTTATTTTCAACCTAATTTTCATTTTACTTAACATACAGTGCCGGATTTCTAGGGCCGCAAGCATAAGGGGGCCGCAGAGGATAGAAAAAAAACTTATTTTAGATACAAATATAATTTATTTAACCATCAGTTTGCCGCGATCACAGGTGACCATAATAATGTTTCCGTGATTGCGGCCCATGGGCCACAGGAGATCGCCGCGGCTGAGGGTGCCAATGAGGATGTCCCTGTGATGGCTTCCCGAGAGGGATGTTTACGATTTCAGCACGGTCGTGGGTGACAATGATCGCAGTCCACGGTAGATGTTTTAACACGACTTTTCCGCGACCGCGAGAGTCGATGATGATGTCCCCGTGATTGCGGCCCGCGGGAGATGTTCACGATTTTGGGTGACGGTGAAAATGTCCCTTCGTTGCAGCCCGCGGGGGATGTTCATGATTTTGCCACGCTCACGGATACCTATGATGGCTTTGACTTGATTAAGGAGAGATGTCCATGATTTCATTCACGATCACGGGTGTCATTGATGATGTCCCCTTGATGCATAAGAAATATTCACGATTACTTCTGTGATTGCAAGGATTTTCCACACCACAGGGGGGGGGGGGGGGGGAGGGCCGCTCAAGTAATTTGGCCTAGGGCCGCAAGTACCCTAAATCCGGTACTGTTAACCTATATAACAACTTTTGACCTAAAGATTTCATACATATTTCACATTGATTAAGCATTTCTCAATTAGTAAAAAAAAATTGTCAGACCGTACGCATTCTTGTATCCATTAGATGCAGTGCCCGTGTATAATTGAATTGCGACCAGTGCCACTACATGTAAAATTGAACTCAAGGTTTTCTTTGCTGGGTGAAAACAGTTTTATTTATTTCTTTATTTAATGGAATTACTTAATTTTGAATGATATAACAGAGATATAAGTTATCACATAAAACAGGACCGGTCCCGTTAATATTTTGAGATACATCACAAAATAAAAACAGGACCGGCCCTGTATCTATAAGATACAATAGGGATGGGCGAGTAGTGTTTTTTTGAGTCGAGTCGAGTAATTAGCCCTAATACTCGAGTATCGAGCCGAGTCGAGTCGAGTAGTTCACGATAAAATCAACAATTTTATTTTACATATATTCCATCTTCATTTTTACAAACAAAGCATTTCTCAATTCACCAAAAATAGACCTGGTTAAAAACTTTTATACCATATAAAAAACACAATATGTATGTGTATCAAACTTATATTTTGGTGTTAAAGGTTTATTATTAATTGCAAAAAAAATTGTAAAAATATGGAACTAAGTGTTTATTTTAAAATAGGTCTACTGTAAATGTTTGAATTTGACTAAAGCATGAGATCTAATAAAGTTTCCTCTAATTTATAAATAGGCTTATAAGTATTTATCTAAGTAATTTCTCAGTTTTTGTATTTATTTGAAATTCCATGAAATTGTCTTAGTTAACTCATTAGTTTATAATTTTTTTTTATTACGTACCTAGCCTACATCTTGGTCTACAAATACTCTTTGTAAGGTAAGTTTTTTCCCCCAAGTGAGTAAAAACTAACTTCCTATATAATGACATTTTCTCACTAATTATATATCTTCAAAATTTGTTTAACTATGAAAAAGTCACCAAGTCTAGCTGAAAACATAATCATAAATGAGGATATTTTTGAAATACAAAATAACTAATCAAACAAAATTTTTAACACTTTTATTTCTCAACTTTTTTTCCTTGAAAAAACCAACAGTTTTTCACTCTTTTTTAATAAAGATTATCACTTATAAATTGTTTTAAAGAAGTCCAGATGTGTGAACTTGAAGAGCAGACAAGAGACATACGTCACTGCCACAAAAACTCTTCACTACTGTGAATGAATGAACTGTTTATTGTGTGAAGCCCAACCCACCGTCTAACGGGACATGGGGGAGGAAAAGAGAAAGTGGCAGAATTTGCCATTGTTCTAAAGCCTGGTTCACATGCCCTCCCTCACCCTCGGCCTCAGTGGCTTGCAGATTTCCATTACACAAGAGTGTTAAATTATTTTGAAATACTGTAAATGTTTGAATTTGACTATGATGAGATCTAATAAAGTTTCCTCTAATTTATAAATAGGCTTAACTTTTTAAGTATTAATCTAAGTCATTTGTCAGTTTTTGTATGTCTTTTTAAAAGCAATTGCAGTTATACATTAAAAAAATTACAAACATCTTTGCCTACAAATACATTTTGTTAGGAGAGTCTTTTCTCTAGTGAGTAAAAACGATCGTGGTCAAGGAATGAACTGTGCTAAAACAGCACATTGTCAATGTTTACAAAAGTATTTTGACTGAAACCCTGGTATTTTTTAAAGACATTGCATAATAGCCTATGTCGACGTCTGTGGAGAAAAGTATGGCAATAGATAGGTTTTACTTTTAGCCTACAATAAAGATTATGTTTTGGGACTAAAATCTCCAAAAGACCAAAAGAGTGCTTTTAACAAACATTTCATAGTTTTATTTGGTAACAAAAGTGTTTGACTATGTTCCCGATTATACCAAGAACAAGGTTCGGCAGAGTGGATTCACTGTGAACCGGCCTGCCTGGCCCTTATGCACGACGTCACTATAACCTCCGTGTAGGGGTGTCAACAATGGATCGGAACAATTCAAGTTTTGAACCTGTCTGTAACCCAGTTTTTTATACTTAAATACTCATTATTTATAAACAAACACGTCCTACATATCGGATCTCGAATCACGATATTTATCGATACCCTTTCCACCCACAATAAAACATTAAACGATGTCAAAGCAATCGTCATTTGCTCCATTGAAACACGAAAGTCGATTGGCTGACATGGTAGTGCACTGACGCCTCCTGACCAATGAGAACTGTTGTTACATACTTTTATTGTCAACATTCACCAATCGTTTTAACATTACAAAATCGACATGGACTAAGGCTTATAATATTTTTCAATAAATACATTATGTTATAGTAGCACTTAAAACTTCACTAAACTCTTTAATCAGGTAGATAGTACAGATCAAAATATGGATCTACTTTTTGGCGCAATATAAAGCAAGCCTAACCATACGACGATGTTAAAGTTAAATGGTTGAATATAATTTTTCTAATGATGCGTATAATGCAGGGATTATTAAACTGAAAATTTCGACGTGTTTAGTTTATTTATTTTGTACTAAAAATAAAAATAATACATCTAAATGTCTGACTTATTGATACAGACATTGTTTAGTATAATTAATTTCGTGTTGGCAGGACATTTGTGCGCCGGTTGTCTCTTGAGTTGAGTCTGACATCTTGAAATGTAGATTCGTAGATTGTGTTGTGCAATGCTGAAGCTAAACAATGTCACCGGCACCGTCGCTGTTTTGAACTAGATAGTTTCTAAGTTGGCTATGAAAATTGTTAACCGTGATGACAAAACTAATACTGTAGCTATACAGTAAATAAATGTTAAAATAAAATATTTATCCCTGTCGGATGTCGGTATCATCGGAATCGACTTTTGACAATCGAGTCTTGGTACCGATACCAATGTCCAAGTATCGGTGGTATCGATGACGATAATCGAATCATCCCTTTTTACTAGTAGAGCTGTATCGTGACGTAATCGATGCACCGGGATTTTGATGCATGCTGGATTGAATCGGGATTCGATGCATCGCACTCGCACACCTACACCACTGCCTATCACCCAGTGTCAGCTCAGCTGTCGGCACTGTCGCTGTCAGTGAAATGGATGACGCAAGCGATGTCTAGGTTGCCGATTATTAGTAGGCCTAGTATGTCAATATTTAAAGGGGTTAAGGGATTAAATAAAACTCAAACATTTTCCTTTCTTACTATTTATTTGTCAAATATCAATGAAAATAACGAAATCGGCTTAACCTCTACTACTCGACTCGAGTCACGAGTATCTTTAACTACTCGACTCGACTGTCGAGTATTGCCAACTACTCGAGTAATTACTCGACAGTCGAGTACTCGCCCACCCCTAAGATACAACTTAGCAAAACAAGGCATGTGTGCACGGACGACGCAAACAGCGAAACTAGGTGTCATTGTGGAGGGGATGAAGCAGCACACTGGCCAAGACCGGTGTTGGGGCGTGAACACGAAAATTGGGGGAATTTTTCATGTTGCGGTATCTAATAGATTAGGTGTGCTACGGAGGGTTAATGAAATCCTTATATATAATATGTGAAGGCAATTTCTACGAAACACTACTCTTCCGTTAATAATTGACGGATTTTTACAAACGAGGTGTCAAAATTAAGTATTTCTTGTGTAGACGCCCCCTTTCACCAATTCTTGCGATAAAAGTCCTCGGGCTTTGCCCCACAGGCCATCAAAATCCCAATATATTTCTTATGAAGAAAATATGTTGTTTACTTAAACAGACGGATAAATTTGTATTGATTGACTCTTATAATTCATCGGAAGTTATGACTGTTATTCGTTTTGAAATAAAGCCTGGAATACTTTGCAGTTGCTCGAATTCGAGCAACAGGTGCACTAGTGTTATTTAATAGCTGTTTGAAATAAACAAATTTTCTGAAACCTAGGTGACAATTAGGTTTAATGATTACCTAGGTTTGCTACTACAGGGAGGGTAATAAAGTGTGTTTTTTTAGTAAAATATTAATAGTTTAGTATAAAATAAACAAATTTGCCAAATCAAAATATATCCCTAAACAAGCAAACTACAATAGTTTATTTATTCTCCATACAAAACAATGGACCAACTAATTCAGATTTTGAGCTGAATGTAAATATAAACATTCCCAATCACTGTCAATGGCGACAATGTCAAGTCCATAGTCTGTTAATTTATCCAGTGGTTTTAATTTGTCAGTTGAAAAAATTAGTTTCAATTTTTATTGAGCAAACAGAGTGTAATATGATAGGCTAAGTGAATTAAATAAAAAAAATATTTTAATTTAAAATAAAAAATAAATTAAATTAAAATTTCAATCATTCAAAAGGTTGGTAGCCTACAGTGTTCATTAATAAATTTTATTTGCTTACTACAGCGGTAGTTATTTATTCTGCACAAACATCAAAACCGTTTTTGAAGAGCTCGACATTTGAAGTGTACTCGCACACCTCTAGGCTATAGTTATTCCAAAAGCCAATGGTTATAGTTATTATTTTAGCTGTAAGCTTCACATTTACACCTTGGTCTACATATTGGTATGTCATAAGGTATTTTTGTATACTTAAATACAATTTTTTAAAGAAATATTTAGTAGTTTTGTTTTAGGTTGTTTATGTCACTTTAGATTATTTGAGAAGAGTTTGATTTACTTTCTTATGTTTTCATTATTTTAGTGGCTTTCGCCGGACTGCTGGGACAGGATTTGATATCAGCGGGTGATTAAATTTCAGTAGTGACTTGTGTTTTCTGTGTGTTTGGTCGGTTGATTAATAGGGTTTGTTGTATTTACTATTTATCAATTATATTGGTTGTGTGTATTAATCATAATATATGATACTGGTTTTAATTTTGTTGTTTTGGTTTGGTTTGATATAGTTTAGTCAGCACAAATATTATACCTATAGCCTGATTCAGGTATTTTATTATTACATTTTTGTATGACCCCGAGTTATATTCACTGTAACTACAAAATAACATACTTCTGAAACCTGTTTGTAGAACTTTTTACTTGGAAATATCAGTTTTCATGTTATTGTTTATAACATAATTTATCTTCTATTGGTACACAGTACAGTGAACATTAAAACAAAATAAAATGAAAAACTGATTTACAAAGAGGGTTTAAGTGAAAGGAGGATTTTTATTTTGATATCATATGAATGAGTGTTTTTTTATAAATCTCCACTAATGAACTGGGCAGTAAGCATCTACACAGTAGGCATTTACACTCAATGGCCATTTATGCCCAAGGCGGGATTTGGTCGCACCAACAACACCACTGTGCCTCTGCCACTGCTGCCCCACTACTTGATGTCCTTAGAGACACCATCCCACCATCTCTTATTGGGCCTTCCTAATGGTCGTTTACCTTCTGGCTTTGATATACTTGCTTCTTTTAATAGCCCCTTTCTCTCTCCATACATTATTCAGTAAGCACATATTATTAAAAAATCAACCACCAAGAAAATGTATACTGTACATACTTACTGATGGGGGGCTTTGATTAACAATTGATCCTTAACCTCACAGATTAGCATCCATTCCCCCTCTCTATCCAACATATGTCTCCTCATTACTCGTTACCCCACATTACTGTCAGACTAATATAATAAACTTTTAAATGGAACTTAAGGTTTGTTTTGTTTAAGGAAAAACGGCTCTAGGCCAGGATTTTAAATTGTAGAAAAAGGAGGATAGCAGCTAGCTTACCTTGAAAAGTGTGGGTAGACCATAGAACAAGTAGAAAAACACTGTGCACACAATATTTCGTCACCTAAGGGACTTTGTCAAGTGTAGAGAAAGCGTTTATAAATTACCTATAGGTAAATTATAAATAACCTATAGTCTATAGGTAATTTATAAACTCTTTCTCTACACTTGACAAAGTCCCTTAGGGGACGAAATATTGTGTGCACAATGTTTTTTCTACTTGTTCTATGACCTACCCTCACTTTTCAAGGTAAGCTAGCTGCTATCCTCCTTTTTCTACAATTTAATGGAACTTAAGTTTATTGTATGGTGATACGAGGCTGTAATTGCATTTCATAGGCTAATTTAGTTTTATCAAACTGTTTTTTAACGGATTTAAAAATCATTTTAAAATACTTTTTGAAGTAGGCTAATTTGTTACTAATGTGTCTTACTGACCAAATTGGTTTACAGACTTAGGAAGGTTTTTTTCTAGGTTAATCTGATGATCAGACAAGTGTTAAATAGGCAGCATGCAGTCTGTTATTTGCTTAAATTCATGGGCATACACTAACTGATTTGGCTGTAATTTACATTACCTATATTAAAAAAGCAAATTGTTTAATTTCATAGAGTTTAATTTCAAACAATCCATTTTGCTGTAGATGTTTAACATGAACAAAATAATATAATATTGAATTTATTTAAATGAATGGAGTTTTTGTGAGATGAGTGCTCAAAGCAAAGAAAAACAAAAAGGGCAATAGAACTAAAATTTGACAGTGTTACCTTACAATATGGTCTTATTACTACGTTTCAGCAAGTTTTGAAGACAAACGAAAGGAGAATTTTGAAAAAGGCCAGGCTGAACTTGAAAGGAGACGCAAAGCTTTGCTAGAGATCCAGAGAAAAGAGCAGGAAGAGAGAGAGCGTAAGGAAAGGGAAGAACAAGAAAAGAGGGAAAAAATAAGGTAGTGTATACCTTAATCTGTACCTAAACAGTGTATAAAGCAAAAAATTCACCCACTCTAGATTTCTCGTAATTTTTTCATTTTCTATATGGTTTGGTTCTAACATTGGAGTGAAATTCATACAATTTATAAATGTATATTACTTGTCACTTCTGGTATTTTTTAGCTCTAGTTTTTTCATAGAGGCTTGGAGTGAATATCAACCTAATAACCAGAAACTATAAAATAAGTTCACTTTTTATGTTACAAAGTCAACAAATGTTTGTACCAATTATAAGAGGCTTTTTTGACGTCCTTGTTTTAATTTGCACATTTCAGGAAATGCACAATCTAAATTGCTTTCAGTAAATTGTGGAATGGTTTTAATGATATTTTAGTGTGAGCTAAATTAATTTAAATTTGTAATAAATTTAATTAATAAATACAATTGGATGAATTCATAAATTTAAGAAAGGTATTAGTCAGAGCCCTGATTTTATTTCTTAAAATATAAGCAATTCATTGAACCTGTGTAACAAACATTTAAACAATGAGTTAAAAGTGCCTATCAGCCTATTTGTGTTATCAGTGCCTTCCTGATAATCATTTCACCTATGTGACCATTTCAAGGAAGGGAAAATTAAAATAAATTAGAGTATCTATAATTTCTATATAATTATGAGTATGTAGTATGTATGAGTTATGTAGGAGTAAGTAAGCTTTCATTTGATTACTCTATGATTGTAGGTTGGAGCAGGAGCGACGGCGACAGGAGGAGTTAGAAAAACAGCTGCAAGCTCAAAGAGAGCTTGAACAACAAAAGGAGGAGGAGAGAAGGAGAGCTCAAGAACAGAGGGAGGCTGCACGCAGGTGGGTTAAAAAGTCATGCACTTCTCAATAAAATGTGGATATAGATTTTATTGATCATTCTAAACTTATTCCTATTCATTTTCCATTTTGCTTAAATTGTTCTGAAACTCGAAATTAATTTTTTTGTAGGCGAATTTCCCTAGAGGGAAGTAGCTATTACCGTAGGTGGCACGGTAAGACCTAGGCCCAGGACCGATTTTCTTTTTCATTTTGATGTCCCCAGAGGCCAAAAAACCATTCTTTAAAATTTATATATATATAGGTATATACACGTCCATGAACTTGATAACTTGAGTAATTTTTGTTTGATTTTGATGAAATTTGATTTAAATGTGTAAGGCGGGATAAACTTAAACGATCGGACCATGGGAACGGGGTTTGACCCCCAAATCAAAAAATTTCCCAATTTCTCTTTAGGCATTTTCAAAGAGCTTAAAAAACAAATAGTTTAGTATATCAACGTGTTTTTGTACAGTTATTGGTAACGGACAAAATTCCAAAAATAGTAAATTAAAAATTCCCATGTTATTCTTATAATGATTTTTTTAGTTTTTTGCTAGAAGTTTTTTTAAGTGGTAGATTGGCAGCTAAACATTAGACACTGTTTGTACTCTATCTATCACAGCACTTAACAAACATAAATATCAGTTAAGTTAATGTTTCTTGTTTATTGTTGTGTTCAGGGAAATGGAAAGACAGAGACAGTTGGAGTGGGAGAAACAGAGAAGCCTAGAACTCCAAGCCCAGAGACAAAGAGAACAAGAGAATGTGCTCAAACTGAAGGCCAAGAACCAGAACCTCAGTATCGAGCTATCACAACTGGTCAGTCATGAATATTATTAGAGGTTTGCTGATAGTAAAATTTCATTTAGAATAGTATTCGGTAGGGGTCTGCGGTACAGAAAATTTAAGGTCGGTACGGTTCGGTACGGTACAATATTTTGTACCTCGGTTCTCGGTACAAAATCGGTACTGTACGCGGCTACCCGTATTTTTGCGGTTTTTCTGCTCAGAACTGTATTTAAACCATTATTTTTAACTTTAATACATTGACATAACTATGAAAATGGATAGTATCCTACATTCATGGTTTTCTAACAACAATTACTGTACCACACATTATTAAAACAAAACCTTTTACTACTACAAGGATTGTGTCAAGAAAAATCACAGTTAAGATGAGCCATGATAAAAGTGGTTTTAAAAATAGGTTAAGAGTTTTTTAGGAATAAACATGTTTGAAACATTTATTGACAAGATAATTTCACACAACTGGTAAATTATTTCCAACCAACACAATGTCTAGTTGTTTAAAAAATTTTTAGGGGTGTGCGATGCATCGAAAATGCATCGAAATTTCGATTCGATTCGATTCGATGCATCGAATCGCGATTCGATTCAGTGGTGGTCAAAAAACTATTCGATTCACGAGGGAGTCAGTATCCATATACGAAAAACGCCTGCAGAAAGTCAATGCAATACCCGCAATACAGGAGCGCGTTGCTGTTGCGTTTCCTTTACGAAGGCGTTCTTATTTAATACATTCTTTGCATTAAATATAGCTTTAATTGTTTTATATTTTTTTGTTTTGACATTGCAAATAATTAGAGGTTTTGTTTTTTGTCTTGATGTAAGCAGTGTGTGAAATATTTTACTACTGTGAACCTAGCCAAAACAAGGTAGGTTACTCCAAAATCATTTTAAAAATAAGTCTGAAAAATTGTTACTTAATACTTAACTAGTAAGATCAATGTTATAGACTGATACATTTGGTATTTTTGTTAGGTGTCTGTCGGTCCCCGTCCCCGAATTTTTGTTGGGGCAAAAGAAAAAAAAGAATAATTTATTTCCAAAGAAACACTCTTATATTATTATATCTATTACAGAGGAATTAAAATGTTCAAATGAGAATTAAAAATTAAGTTGGCTCACGACCTTTAAGAATAAAGACACAACAGAGCAATTGCCGCACTGCCACTAGCCAGAGCCAGGTCTAGTCGTCTACTGATAAAGAGTAACAAGACAAAAGCCGTGACGCAACACTAACAGTGCAAAGAAAACAGAGTCAAAAGAATAGAAAGACTATTTATCCAGACATATTAGTATAATCATTTATTGTTCATTCAATACCTAATTAAAAATATATTTAGTATTTTACATAATAAATTATAAACAAAAGAAATATCTGATATAGTGAACAGATCTGTATCTTGGTTAAATAGTGTTAAAAAAATATATTTCTAAGATCCAATACAATATTTACAACTCACAAATTACATTGAATTAATTTCTTTGAAAATAATCTCTAACAGTTTTGTGTTTTTGAATAAAGAAATATATTTCTTTGTCTCTACTTCCTTGTTTCATCACTTGCATTTTGTCAGCAATTGAAGCAACTGGGTAGCAACCGGGTGGTGTAAGAGGGGAGGGGGAGGGTCTATGACCTTGAATTCACACATCGTTGCCCGGGCCTGGCTGGTGAGACTGATTCATTGTTTTTGTTGACATACTACTACCCTTCCTTAAGAGAAAAAGGCCCTGCTGTTCCAAAAACATTGAGGGTAGTTTAAAAACATTGACCTGTGTTGCCAAGGGCACTAGAAGATAGCATTTAACTTTCTTGTCTCTTGATTTAATATTATTTTAATCTTCTATATATTATTTAAGAGTTACTTTTCGGGTACCTAATTAGTTGTGATATTGTTTAGCTTCATTTTATGGATTTTTAATTCTTTTCATTCATTAGCTATCAAAATCAGTTGTTTTAGGATTTTAATCTCTTGCAGTACCGGTAGGTCTATACTACTGTATGACATTATATGCATTTTTTAGTCCTTATTAATTATACCATAAACAATGTTTGTATGTTATTTACTGTTTTTGAGTTTTATAGGAAATTAGTTTACACAATATCTTTTCTTCAATGAGTTCTCTACTTGACATGTTGCTTCCAGCCTATTACTATTTTAGGCCCTATAAAAATAATGCCTATGTAAAGCTGTAGGCCTACTGATGCCAATAATAATTCTTTATTTATGATGATGTAACAAATAATGTAAGTGTGAGGTTATTATACTAAGGAGGTTAGGAGGCAGGGAATGAATGATACATGTTGCATGGTGGAAACATATTATTTTTATTTTCTTCTTGCTTGCAGTCCTGAAGCCGGTCCACAGGCCCTAAACTTGTGATATGTAAATTTATTTCTTAATGGTCTTTTTATATTAAGTTCCATTCAAATTTGTTGTAATTTAGCTACCGGTACCTATTTAGTTATTTAAACAGTTATTAAAATGAGAATGAGTGTCTTGATAAAAAAAATATTTTCTTCTTTCTTGCAGTTGAGCCAATTCCAAGTAAAAATTATGAAATAGGCAAGTAAAGCAGCTCACTGGTATATCCAGCAGTTATTCTAATACATATGATTGAAAATAAATATTTTTTCACCTAAAATTCATATGTAAGTATGAATAGGCCTAATACCACATCAACAAAAATTTGTATTACACAAATGTGATAAATTTTAATTATTGTTAATCCACTCAATTGACAATTATGAATAGAAAAATACCGTATTGCTTCGAATCGAGTTGCATCGAATCGAATCGAAAATCTTTTGAATCGAATCGTTGCTTCGAATCGAAAATTTTTTGCTGCTTCGCACACCCCTAAAAATTTTAAAATAAAAGCATTCAGTACGATGACAGTGTAGTTGCCAGCTGTTCACTGGAGGTTATGATGAAGTAATGGCAAAGAGCATCTTTTTTTATCAGCTTCAAAACTAGTTATAAGATGGATACAACCCTTGCAAAGTTTTTTTCTGAAACTAAAATTTGGATTATCTCAGAGTAAGATTATTGTCTTTTCATTTACAAAGTTAACGTCCACAATATCAATCATATCAATCATTAGTTTATCTCAGGCTCAATCCAAATTTCTTAGTATATTTTAAAGCTCTTCCAAAGAATCAAAAGACCCAGGCCTGGACCTAATTATTTAGGAGGGCCTATATATAAATTGATTAGGTTACAATGAGGGTAGCAACAATAACTACAGTATCTAGTTTATAAGATTTAGATTGCATAAAGTACCTTCAACACAAAAAAAAATACAGGAAACTAAAAAACATTTAAGCCTTATCAGTATAAGGCCACATAACAGCCACGGCAAACAATATAAGACAAGATACAGAACATGCAATGACATAATTTGAGACCGAGTAGGCTTGAATAATGAAAAAGATTATGCAAACAACAACAACTATGCTTGTGGTTGTCAATAGAAAGATAAAATATCTATAACAAATATTTAAACTTATAAAATAAGATTGTAGATTAGTTACAAGTTTAATATGTAGCCATAAACAGTTTTATGGCAGTAGGCAATGAAAATACTGACTGAGTTAGAGATAACATTTAACAGTCGTCATAAAACTATTATTTTTATGATAAAATAGAATTGGAGAAAGTCGTAAAGAAATAAAAGTGATAAAACTCAACAGTTCCTGGAAGTACTTGAATACAACAATTATTGTCGTGATAAAAATGTTAATGGATTTGGGACTGCTAATGGGGTTTTTATTGCATCATCACCCTAGTAATAAATTATGAAGATCGTAAACAAACATCTGATAAGACTTTTATGTGCTTAGAACCAATTGTCTTGACTACGATAGTAAACTGAAAGTAATTTATTATTATAATAGTCTGTACCGAACCGAATTTGTACCGTGTAAAATGCTGTACCGAACCGATGACGGTAATTAAGCTTGTACCGTACCGACTTTTTCGGTGCACCGCAGACTCCTAGTATTCGGGTTGGATAGTTAAGGCTTGGTTCGGTTTGGATTGGATATTGGGAGGTTGGGATTTGGATATTTTCGGATTCGAATAGTTGGACGTTAACAAGTATTTAATACATTAATAATAGTACAAAATATATAGCAAACCCATAAAACACTATAAAGCTGTGTAAATAAACGTTTTTGTCAAGATTTTCATATTTACACCAATAAAATATAATATCCTGCAATCATGATATTTTAGGTCATGGACCATTATTAGCTTCGGGTAGTGCTGTTTTAGCAGGGAAGCATGACGATAATTATAAATTGATGTTCATGTAGTTGAAAACAAATAATTTGTAAAACTTTAAAACACTAGATAACTCATAAAGAAGGATAAAATCATACATGAAGGATAATAGAACTCGTAAACAGGGTATAAAGATAGAAACATAAAAAAAAACTCCACTATTCTGTCTCTTTGTTTTTTCTATTCTATCTTGTGTTTCCCTTCATCAACAAATCGAACAAGATGTCATGGTTATTTATCACCCAAATCAAAGGCTACTAAAGTTGACTTGGGATAACCCAATCACAGTCTACCAAGTGTTATGCCGTCATCAGTCCTGAGCTAACAAAATTTGTATTGACATAGCGCACAGAAGACAGATTCTTTCGCTTAGCAAAATATTGTCAGCGCAAGAGTGGTTTTGGAGCTATCCATCAATATTTCTCTTTTCTGCTTAAATTTTATTTTAGTCAAATGAATTTTGTTCTTTCAAAACCAACAATGTGGGAGCCTACTGGGAAGCAAATAGTTGAACATACAATCCATTTTAACAACCAGGACTACCATTTTAAAAATAAAAATTCTCTTGGGATGATCACAGTTTATGTCTTGTTAAACGAGGTTCTACTGTATTTATTAACCCTCCGAGTGTCCATAGTTTAGGCCTTAATGTCCGCCTATTTTTGGCGTATTTGCAAGGTTTTATTAAAACGGATCTGAAAAGCTTAAAACAATGTTAATTCTACTGTTCTATATACCATTTTGTTTGGAAAATCATGGGCTTCAATATCATACATAAAACCTAAGGAATATTTGTTTCAAAAATTTTTTTTTAGGTAAAAATAAAAATAATTTTGGAAAAATTGAAAAAAATAAGTTTGCGCTCAATGAAATTGTATAAATTATAGGCCTATAGATATTTGAAAATAGATATTTGCCACTTTGTTCTAAATTTTATGAGGATTACAAATATATAATAATATAAGGAAGTAGATTTGCAAATAAATAAGTTATGGGCAAAAAACAGATTTCAGTACATAGCGTTTAGCTAAGAATGCATAGCCTAACCATAGCTAGGAATCTGGCTGATAATTTACATCAATATCACTACCTACTTCTTCAGGATCATCAACCAGCCCCTCAAAATCACTTAAATCTTCTTATAATGCACCACGTATATCACTAATTTTGATTTTTAACACTAAAACAATGATAAACATAATAAAACACATCAGTCATCGGTCCGAGGTTAACTAACCTGTTTACAAATACGCACGTCAGCTGTCTGCTACAATTACGATCGGCTCGGAGAACATAAAGCGCTTAGAGACAGACCTCTGGAGAAAGCTTAGAATCTAACGAAAAGAACGATACCTAACTCGATACAGTTCAATCCGATTTTGTCAGTCATAGAGCCTTCGCCGTAAACAGTGTTCGTGAGTCGCTGCAGCGACGCATGACACTCGGAGGGTTAATCATACGAAGTGTTTTTATGTACTCTTTTGTAATTTGGTTTATTTACAGAATGAGAAAGTGAAGGAGTTGTCCACCAAGATCACAGAGACCAGGTCTGGAGTGACCAGTGTCAAGTCCACTATTGATGGCATGAGGACTACAAGGGACACACAGCTGCAGCAGATGTCTAGTAAGTGCTTCAAATAGTAATTAATTAAACGTTCGAGACGAGGTTGTACTAAAATATGTTGCTAACCAGGTATCTATATATTCAAACTATTTCTTAACGAATATTTATTATGAGCAATTGTATATAAAATGTATTTTATGTCATACTACAGCAAAAACAGCCGTTTTCAATACACAAGCATTTTTAGTCCCAAGTGAGTAAAATTAAGCTTGATTGTAAGCAATTGCATGTATTAAAGTATGTATGGCTTATTTTAATTGGTAAACAAAAAATCATTATTCCATAAAAATATACCTATGTTAAAAAAATTATAATATTCATACAATAGATGGTTCCCACATAGGCAAAGCCTGTGCGTGGAGACCGTGTTGTATCAGTCCATAATCTTAGAATCTATTTACAACACCTTATACTACTCTACATACTAAATACATAATTACAAAGAAAAACACTTTCACTAGGGAGCCACTAGGGGTTGAAGCTTATTGTTGCATTCTTGTTAATTGTTTGAAATATTGATGGTACACTAAGACATTATGATGATTGAATCACATATCAAACAGCTGCTTGTTTGCATCAGCTAAATTGAAAACAAGTTATAAGTTGTTTTAAGAGGTTGTTATCTACATGAAAAATTTTGTTGTTTTCTAACTTAGTTTGTTTAATGCTGCAACATGTAAAAAAATATAGTTCATCACACAGGCAAAGAGTGTCTTGTCAATCCTCGCTCATTTTCCAACCTCAGCTTCGTTTCGATCCTAAAACTTGAACTCGGGTCGAAATAAGTCACTTTACGCCCTAGTGATGAAATATACTATTGTGTACAGTAGTAGGCCTATCATTTATTTATTTGTTTCTGTTACAACACCATTGTAATTCTAAATTTCTATGTGTTTAGTAAGGAAATGGAAATACTACAAATCCTGGCTATTTGATAGTCAATTAAATTATTAATGAATAATCTATTGCCCAATCATTAATTACATTTAGGTCTAAAATTATCTTATATTTATCCTTACTTTTTTCAATTGGTAATCTTTTTATTCCGAAAATGATTCTTATAAAATGGAAACAAATTAATGTTAAGTCAGTAGAACAAACAATATGCAAAAAGCCTAAAAAATGAGAGTAAGACAAATTTAATGTATTAGATAAACAATACCTTTGTTTTTTTTTATTAAGAAAAATTACAAATACTGGTCAAATCACACATATAAAAAATTAAACTCATAGTATAACCTTAAATAAATATATATAATTAATAATAACTTAGATGTTAGTTATGTCAATAGTTGTGGAGTCAAAAACGAAAACTGAATGAAAGTGTGTGTGTAGACAACTGATGATCAAAATCCTTATGTGTTATATTTAGTTGTATTTATTAAGTATTCTATTGCTGTAATGAAGTGTTTCATGTAGGCTAAAAAAATAGAGTTTTCTACCACCATAAACGTCTTAGTCTCATCCTTTGTCAAAATTTTCATACATTTACATCAATAAAAATATTTTTTGTGCAGCTCTAAAGGCCAAGCTGAAAGAGCAAAACGCAAGGCTGGTGGCTGTGAGCCAAGAAAAGGCCAGAATGGAGGCCAAGAACAAAATGAACGCTGCAGCTGACGTGGCTGGACAAGAACAGGCTAAACTGGCCTTCCAGAACAAACAGATCCAAATGAAGCAGCTGCGGGACAAACTTCAGGATATGGAAAAACAGGTAAACATAGACGTACCGAACCTTTAATTTGTTTTGGGAATTAGTTAGCTGTTTGTTTTATTCAAGCAGCCTCATCTTAGTTGGTTAACGTTAACAGTATTATTGGTGTAAAGCGAGAGTTTATAATTTTAATTTTATACAGAGAAAACAATAGTTCTGTCACAATGTAACTTTACTATGTAGAGTTATTGTAGCTGGCATATAACTGTTGCCTGTTGGTGATTAATTTATATTAAGTTACAGTATACAGAATGAGAAGTGTGTACCTACTAAATATTGTTTTGATGTCAACTTATATTTTACACCAGCCTATTCTTGTCGCCTAAACAGGAAATAACAAATACATTTCATAACGTTTTTTTTTTCATTGTGCATTATAGTCTAACCTTGATATAACAAACCCAATATAACACATTCTTTAATACGAAGAATTTGTTCAAATCCCCTAGAACTCTCCATAACACACAATGTATATTTCACCTCTACAAAATGAACCATAGCAACAACCATGATTTATTGTTGACGATCCTGGCTACAATATATCACCTTAACATAACACATTTATCTTTGTCAGAACAGAACCTCTACTTAACGTTTCCCTCAATATAAGAAACAAACACCCATATTAAGGTTTTTGAAACATTGCAGTTCCTTTGGTAAATTGAAAAAAAAATTACATCAACGCTTGAGCTGAAAATCTTCTGCTCTATTTTACATTTCTTTTTACTATTATTATAAAATTAAATTATTGTACATTTCTGTCTGCTGTGAACTATGCCACAACAGATTTTAGATGAGTTTAAATAAGCTGTGATTTTAAACGTTACAGTTTGTGCAACTGAACTAAGGTAAACGACTTGAAATGTCATGATTGTCCAATGCCCCAATATTGTATTTTGTTGATGAAAAATGCAGATTGTGACATTAATTTAGTTCTTTAAACATGATTACAGTGCTTTTATAGGTTCATCATATTTTTTTAAAGTTTTTTAACTTTGTTTTTATCATCCAGGGTCTCCCTCCACCCTATTACCCTGGATAATTGATATTCTACTTTACAATAGTGTAAAGTATTGTAGCATATACTACTTAATTGTGCTTTAACAAGGTCAAGCCTCGACCTATATTGACCAATAATGTTTTGTGAACCTTGATTTTGCAAAATTCTTACAAACTCAACCTCAATTTAACGAACCTCGTTTTAACAAAATTTTTGATATAACGGATATTCAGTTTGGTCCCTTTACATTTGTTACACCTTAATATGTGTTGAGGGTAGACTGTAATAAGATTTGTTGTATAGGCCTACATTATTAATTTTCTTAGTTTGTTAGCGATTGGAAAAAAAATAAATATGGATTAAATTTGGATCCTTGATAGATATGCTATTCCAAAATAAAATATAAGTTAAAACTAAATATTCTAAACTGATCTTCAATGCTGGAATTTTTAATATTGTTTCCAGATTGAAGGGAAAATGGAAGACATTCAAAACAATAACTCACAACTAGACGATTTAAAACAGCAGCTTACGAAACTAATCAAGGATTGTGAAGAACTATACACCACCTACAATGAGAAAAGAAATAAGGTAAAATTATGTGTTGATCTATTGTTACTTAGGATTATTTTGTTATAAAGTATAGTGGTGTAGTTAATGAATATGTTGTCATTTATTCCATCTTTAAACAATACAATAATGTGATTGATTTTGTCAACAAACATAATTCTTTATGTTAAAGCAAGTTGTCAATATGCTTAACGTGGTAACTAGGGGTCTGTTGTACAGAAAATTTAAGGTTGGTACGCCTCGGTTTTCGGTACAAAATCGGAAGGTTACCAGTATTTTAGCCTTTTTCCTTTTAGATTTGTATTAAACCCACATTACCTATTTTAAATTTTAATACATTGACATTACTATGAAAATGGATTTGATACATTCATGGTTTTCTGACAAATTACTGTACCACACATAATTAAAATCTTTTACTCCTAACAGGATTGTGTCAAGAAAGAAACATAGTTAAGATTAAGGCTTTACCTGTTTTACTACCAAGATAATTCATAGCCATGATAAAGTGGTTTTAAAATTAGGTTAAACATTTTTAGGAATAAACATTTTTGAAGCAACAATTTGACAAGTTAATTTCACAGAACTGGTCAATTATTTCCAACCAACACAATAACTGTTTTTTTTTAACTTTTAAAACATATCAGTGCATTCAGTACAAATACAGTGTAGCTGCCAGCTGTTCACATTCAAAGACGACAATGAAATACTGGTTTGTTTGTCTGGATTTTTTAGTCCAGAGAGCCGTAACCACAGAAAACATACTACTATAACCCAGAATGCCAACCCCATGGTAAAAAGCGTTAAGTACTTTGAAAGAGCTTTGCCTGTCAATTCGTAGGCAGTGCGTTGGCATTCTGGGTTATAGTAGTATGTTTTCTGTGTCGTAACCCCCTGGAATGAGGCTGTTCTAGGACGATGTCCTTTTCAGCCTTGCCTTGCCTTAAAAAAATACTGGAGGTTTTGATGAAGTAAAGGCAAAGCCTTTCTTATCAGCTTCAAAACTTAATTATAAGATGGATAGAACTCTTGCAAAGCTTTTTCTGAAACTACAAATTGGATTAGCACAGTATTTTCATTTGCAAAGTTAACATCAACACATATAAATCGTTAGTTTATTTCAGGCTCAATTAAATTTTCTTAGTATATTTTAAAGCTTTTCCAAATAATCAAAAGACCCAGGCCTATACCTAATTATGTAGGAGGGCCTATACAAATTGAGTAACAAATGAGGTTAACAATGAGAGTAGCAAAGTCGCATAATCTTTCTAGTTGATAAGATTTAGAATGCTTAGTACAAATACATCACAATAAAACCTATAGGAAACAAAAAACGTTAAAACCTGAACAACCAATAATTAGACAAAGATACAGAATATGTAATGACATGATTTGTGACCAAGTAGGCTTGCATAACGGAAAAACCTAATACAAACAACAGCTCTTGTGGTTTTCTCAAATGAAAGATAAAATATCCATAAAAATATTTTAACTTGTAAAATAAGACTGTAGATTAGTTACAAGCTTAATATGAAACCATAATCAGTTTTATGGTAGTTTATGGTAGTCAGAGTATCCAATGGCCAGCGGCAAATTTAATGTTCACACAAATACTGACAGAGTTAGAGGTGAAATTTAACAGCCATTATAAAATTATTACTTTCATGATAAAATAGGTTTGGGATCTCATTATAATTAAATAATGGAAATCTTAAAGAAGAACAGTGTAAAAACTCAACAGTTCTTGGAAGGACTTGACCTTGAGTACAACAATTGCTGTTGTTATAAAATATTAATAGATTTGGGATAACCCTTGTAATAAATTATAAAAATCTTAATCAAACATCTGATGATAGGCCTACACCTTTTATGTGCTCTGACCGACTATGATAGTAAATTTAAAGTAATTTTAATTTATTGTTATTGGCTGGAACGGTCTATTGGTGGTTATTATACCGACCGACATTTTCAGAGCACCTTCGATGCACCGCAGACCTCTAGTGGTAACCAATACCAGTGGGTCTACACTGTGACTTCATATAAGTAGGCTATGTTTCTGTGACCAAATTTGGTGTAAGGTTGACTCTCACGGTGATCATAAAATTATTTTTTTGCATTATTTGATCCATCTCATGTCTAAAGAAGTATTACTGCTCTTGCTTGATGATGTGAACAGTTAAAAAAGGTAATAACAATAAGTCTTGGGATTTATTCAAATAAATTAGGCCTACTACTGTGTATACACGATAGTCTGTATGAGAGGACCTGTCTCCTGATCCTGAGGTGTATCTGAGGACTGGCCAATTCTTGAGGCCTGGACCAGTCCCAGACAGAAAAAGGGTCAGGAGACAGATTCCATCATAAAGACCACATTAGTGGGAATTGAATTTAATTTGGTAATTAAATTTGAATGTAAATAAAACAAATAAATAGTTTTAAAAATACACACAATCAAATTTGACATTTGCAATTTTAGAACTTGATTGCCACTTAATAAATTCTTATAAACTGAAGTAGCTAACTGTAGTGTTCAGTCTATGTTTCAAAGGTATATGTAATATTTCAGGTGCTTGAAATGAAAGGCAGCAAAGCCAAAGAGGGTTGGGGAGATGATGCTTGGAACTCTACCCCAGCTGCGTGGAACTCTGAGGAGGAGACCTATTCAGCCCAGACCGGTACGTAAATCATCAATAGCTATATAATTTAAGATAGTGCTCGATTTGTAAAATGAAGTGCCAGAACTGTAACCTATTTAATATGATAAGTAGCCTAATTAATTGTATTTATGTACCTATTTTTGCCAGTATTTTTATCCATCCCAAAAAGAGGTACCGGAATGCCGTTCCACCGCAAAACGAGCTCTGATTGAAGATATTCCTGCCAACTATCTTATTAATATCATGTCAAAAGGTTTACTTTGTATAATTGCATAAGGCTAAAATTATATCTATATTTTTGTTCTTGATATGCAACATTTTTATTGGAATTTAAATGTTCAAAATTGCATTTAACATACTTTTTATAGTCTAAAAGATAATTTTAGAATAGCATTTGATATTCAGCTGGTTTATCAGGAAGAGTCCAGCAAATTGTAGTGCGCTAAATGTTCTTAAAAAAAACATTGATTTTGCCTTAATGTGGGAGTTAGGACTTAATATATTTTATGGATTCAAACTTTATTGAAATGTGTTTAAGTTCAGATTATTTTATTAATATTGACTCTCATACTTTTATTAATAACATTTGCTGACAATTAGAATTTTAACTTTTAGATGTTAGCAACATCTTTAAAATTCTTTAGAAAACAGTTATAAAATTAACTGTTATAGTTATGTACATATTTCTTGTGTGCACTCCAATTTAAGTTTATTCACTAATGCCTTGCAATGTTCTACACATTTTCAGAAGGGTACAAGAGGTATCGAGCGTTGTATGAATTTGTTGCTCGCAATGGTGACGAGTTGTCTTTCCAGCCTGGAGATATCATCATGGTACGTATAAATACCAACAATAAATATACCACACTTGCCTTTATTTACATGACAAAATGTATTAAATAATATAGTACATATTATAGAGCAGTGGTTGCTTTCTAGAATTTGAGGTAGGTAACTATAGTTCGGCCGCTTAGAAAGCGACCTCCTCCGACATTGGTTTAGCATTAGCGCGCAGGTCGTTTTCTAAGCGGCCGAACTAAAGAACTGAATTCATTGGAAGCTCTACTTTGGAACCATTTTACACATTACTTAAGACTAGGTCTATTGAGGTATGACATCTAAGACACACTCAACTAAAAGCCATTTGTGATTGTTGCGATTTGAACCCGAAACCTCAGAGACTGAAGCACCAGCTTGCTAAGCCCGCTCGCTCCCCACCATCTCTCTAACTATTTCTGATCCATAGACCATTGCATAGAAGAAAAAAAAACAGTTTGATATGTGTAATAGAAGTATTAGTTTGCTTCTTTTCTTGAAATTAGTTTATAAAGGTTCTGGATTATTATGTACAAGGATAGGGATCAGCTAGCTTACCTGGTAGACAGAGTCCAGATCAGCCTTGGTAACACACATAAAACACAAAACAGTAAAACTTAATATTTAGTCCCAGTTAGGGACTTTATCAGAAGGGAGAAGAAAGAAGAGTCCGAAAAAAGAGAAAATCAAGCCCGATCAAAAATACTATACTGCAAAAAGTGGTCCTATTTGTTACAAAACAGTAGTACACTTAGCAACCTCTGGTTGGTGATGATTGCCTCTTTTTTACCTTAGACACAGTATATTTAATTCTTCAGGCTTGCAAACAATAAAATCCTTTACTGAAAAAAGGAGAAAAAACTAGTACAGACAAATCCTTATATAACAAAAATGAAATTTTCATGAAATTTTTGATGAAATTTGCTTTTAGAGTAGTAATTTATTGCACATTTTTCTAGTATCTCTGCTTTTTATGTAAAGGTACCTATCACCCAGAACGCAGAGCCTGGTTGGCTGGCCGGAGAGGTCAGAGGTCATTCAGGTTGGTTCCCCGAGGCGTATGTAGAATGCATAGACACTGACACTGGGGTCTCGCCTTATCCCGAGGCTGACACAATACAGAAGACTCAACTGGAGTGAGTATCTGGGGTCATGCACTGCTGGATAGAGTGTTATCGATTAGAAAATCAGTAGGATTTGTTTATGCAAGTCATCTATGATTATTTCTGCTGACTCGAAGTATATGTTTTGTTTTGTGTCTTATACACTACCACAGACTTTGTTTTTGTTAATTAAAACTGTGCTCCTTGAGAACCTACAACTAAGGCTGTTAGTGTATATATACTGCAACACTTCATATTCTACCATTGCTTCAAAGCATGAGCTGTTTTAATTTTTTATCCCTCAGATAGGAACATAACTCAATAACACTGCCAACTTTTTATATGTAGACTTTCAGTATAATATATCTGGCTTTCTAGAGGGTTTCAAGAACAGTAGATATTGGTTCTATTGATTGAACACATGGTTAGTGATTGTAATTCATTTTTATATTCCGAGGATTGTGTGAAATTACAACAATCCTTAACATGTAAATCAGCATGAAGTAAAATTTGCTGCATATGTTTGGTGGTCATTATAACTAGTGACGAGAAAACATATCGTGTGGACCTTCTCAAAAGCTCCATTGAGTAAAGATTATTAAAAAAATTTAGAGGCGGTTCACGAGTCACGGGTTATCCTTAGTTCGAACGCAAAATCCAGTTATAGCCGGTTTTTTGCGCCGCGGCTTAGAAATCGGCTTCACGAGTACCAGGTTACCCGCGCTCGGGCGCAGACAGATGAACTTCACCCAATTATGACAGGGATAAACCCGAGCGCAAAAAGTCGGCTTCACGGGTTCAATTAGAGAAAACCCCGGGCCAAATGTCGGGTTCACGAGTCATGGTCTAGCGCAAACTGGATAATCTCGGGCGTAAATAACAATGGTTTTAGACTTCAACTTAACCCTGCTAGGGGGCAGGGTTAAGGTGACATCATGTCGGGATTATCTCATTTGCTCGTTTATTGTTTTTTTGTTAGCAAAAATAATGTTATATTCGGATTCGCCATTAAATTCCGAACAATTTCATTACCCTCAACATGATATTTATTTTTTCAATTTTTTTACTAACTGATTGTCGAAAACATACGAAACATTGTAAAAAGTTGCTGTTTTTAATTTTAATTAATTACTAAATAAAAATATAATTAATAGCTTAACATAGGCCTATTTATATAAATTTAAATTGAAAATGAATTTTATAACGTTACTGTTTTATTTTTTTATCACTTTTGAACACTTTTAATTCAGCCGAATAGGCCTAATTAAAAAATAAAAATGGTTCCGACAAATACTGTTAGGTTTGTCTAAGAATTTTTATTGTATAATTAATATAGGTCAATTTATTTAAGTTTCCCAATTTAATTTTGTATATTTTAAATTATATGTTTATATAATTATGTTTATGATTTAACAGTTGAAAGACATTTCATCTGATAATTTCTTGATATTTGCCATATCGGGTTTTACAATAAATTGCTTCAATTTACTGAGATAAAAGGTAAATTCTATAGTTAAATATACAAAACGTTGTATTACAACAATAAACAAAATTTTAACCTGTTTTCTTACACCTAAGATTTCTCATGTTTAAAGTCTGAGTAAACCCAGTGAAATAAGGTGTAGCTACATTTTATATTTTGTTGTGGTGTTTCCGGATCAACTGATTGACAAATAAATAAAAGGTTAAAATACCTGATTGTCGCCTTTGTGGTCCAAAGTATTGTCCTAGTGGATTATGTACACTTCGGCGCGAGCGTCATCGTTGGATCCGTATAGGACAATACTTTGGACCACAAGGCAACAATCAGGTATTTTAACCTTTTATTTATTTGTAGCTACATGCTGAGGTATTGAAAAGAGTGCGAAATACTAACTAGGGTGTCTAGTGCCATCTGATTTAGGAATTGCACTCCTCTACACAGTTGTACTGTAATGAAATATTCTAATATCACTTATCCTATTACTAATGTTCAATATTTATTTGTTTCTCAATAAAATAAATATATCTACGCCACATATATTGCAATCACTTTCAAACAAAAACATTTACGTTTTATATTATTATTTTTTACATATGAGGGCATCCCAACTCCTGTAATATAATATCCAGTTGTTCCTCCAAATTTTTTTTCAAAATTATAACTGGTGAAGGTACATCTTAAATTGAAGTAAGAATTAGAAAAAAAATCAAATTATGTGTTTTGATCGAGTAAAACTGTATGTAAATATTTGCCGATGCTTTATGTGAAAGCTTGCGGTACATGCCTTCCATTTAAGACCTAAATCATGAAAATCGGTCGGGTAGAAGAGCCAAACAAACTCGGAAAAGAAAAACAAAATTTGTTTGATGTATAAGATAATTGTATTTTCCCGATACATGTCAGTAAAAGTGTAGCCTATTATTCATTTCATTATTCAATGATTAATCCAGTAACTTAAAACTTTATTATAAAATGAATTTAAGTGCAAGTTCACAACCTTTTTATGCAATATCAGTAAACACTCTGTATACTGTAATTATAATAATTTATCACGTCATCCTATTGTTATGGGACTCGTCGACCGCGAGCAGCGGCTCGGTAGGTAGCCCACGAGGCTGTTGCCAACCTTATAACGAAAGTTCCCCGTTAAATCCCTGCTGTTGAGCGACGGTCAGCGTTGGTCTCGGCTAAGCTTGATCTCGGCTAACGCTCTATGTCGTGAACCCATTTTTTGGCCGTCGGTTAAAATTGGCCGAGAACAACGATAACCGCGGGCCACGGAACCCCATACTCGTGAACCGCCTCTTAGTAGTCTACATAGGCCTACCTTAAACTCAACAATTCAAGTTTATTTTTAAGAAAAGAATGCTCCCATCGAGCAAGTTATGAAGGGTATCTAAGCAATTTAGAGCTATTAAGTACACATCTCAGTTGCTTAGGTTTACTTTCAAAATCATAGTCCTCAATTCTATTCGGAGGTTCTTTTCCCAGAGAGATAGCAGAAGTGCCTGAGAATGTGTCTGACAATGGGTCAGCCGTGGTGGAAGTGTCAGAAGCCCCTGCAGTGCCCCTGATGCCCAGCTTGATGTTGGGTATGGGCACTCCTGTGGACCTCACAGTGGTGGCTTTGTATCCCTTCACCCCCTCAGCTCCGGACCAGCTACTCTTCGGCAAGGGGGACATCATCAGGGTCACTGAGAACCAGGTAAGCTTGCTTTTGTAAATGATTGAATGTGAACAATACATTAAGTAGTTTTAGATCCATGTTCCTTGTATATTAAATCATAGGAGATATTATAAATATATGGCTTGGCAACTGAGTTGTTACAATGCTTGTCATTAAGATGATTATTCATACTTGCAGGACATGTGGTGGTATGGAGAAAACAATGGCCAGGAAGGCTGGTTCCCTAGGACTTATGTCAAGCTGTCAACAGATAATGTCAACATTAACAATGCTGTAGACATGGGGGCACTTCCACCTGACCAGCAAGGTAGGCCAATAATGATCTTTGTGTATTTTAATGATGTGCATATGAAACAAGGTGATGTCGAAAAAACTAGGAAGCCAGAATGCCAACCACGTCCAATAAGTTTGCTATTCAACATTTTATATTTTAGGTTACAATTACCTATTTGGATGAACAAACTTGGCCAAAACATGAGTAAAACTAGACATTAATATGTAGCCAATACCTCTACCAAAAGTAGAACACTGTGTGTTAAAAAATAACAGTATGGCTAATGTATGAAATTGTACTAAACTAATCTTTTGTGGACACCCTGTATTTTATAGTCTGTAACAATTTCTAAAACCATAAAAGTGTCTTGTTGATGAAAAACATCTGATTCTTTAGTAAGAACTTCTTTTGTTAATAATTAGTAACATCAATTAACATTGATAATGAGTTAAAACTTAATTATTTTTTAATTGTTTTAAGGTTAGCATAAGTCTATAAGTTAAATGTCTGGGCATTCGTTATAATGACCTCCTTTGAATTTTTTACTACAAGATACCTTGATTTGATACTTGAAAAGGATACTACAAGGGATATATGAATTGTCACGTTTCTTCCTAACTTACTACAATTTGTTTTACAGAATACTATGTTGCTCTCTACCCGTACGCATCAACTGAGCCTGGAGACCTCAAGTTTAACCAGGGAGAGGTCATATTAGTGGTCAAGAAGGAAGGGGAATGGTGGACTGGGGTCATTGCAGATAGAACAGGAATATTCCCATCCAACTATGTACAGAAAGCAGATACTCAGGTAATCAATCATTTATAACAAACCTTCATGTGATCATAGCACATAACATATTTTGTAGGCTACTCCTTGTCTTCTATCTAAGAGATATATTGCAGTAGAGTCGTGATTATCTAATCCCCATTTAGTGGACTCTGTGCTATTCGAACCTCCCAGAGGGCTATTGAGCAGACCTACCTTGCAATCTCATAGTATTTTTCTGTAGTAAGATAGTACACCATAGCAGGTACATCAAGAAACCTCTTTTTTCCGCTCCTATCTGTACTTGGAAGATACATTGGGCTTTTAAGATCCTACCTAATGAATAAGCTGGTGTTAGTCAGTAACAAAGCTACATAAGGTATCTCACTTTATTCAACTTTCATCCTTCACTCATATTTGGGTTCAAATATGCACCTAGGTAGCGTCCCCATCTCAACTGATAATGGCAGTTTTAAAAAAGGATGGCTAGGCTGTAGGTATTTGTACTTGGTTATGGTGACTTGGTGGCTCAGTCAGAAGCGCCACCAGTGAAGTCGTGGGTTCGGATCCTGGTACCTGCCACTAATTTTTATCAGTACTCTTCACTCTTGTACCTGCTCACCCCTTCCTTTGCTGGATACGTTCCACACACAGATCCCTAGTCTATGTGCATAGGTTAAACGAGGCTGCCGACATCTTTAAAAATAATACTTTAAAAATAATTTGATTTCAAAGTCGGGAATTTTCATTTTCATGATTTTGCCGCGATCGTCGTCTTGTGTTTACGTAACCGTGAAAGCCAATGATAATGATGTCTACACGGCCTCGGGAAATGTTCACGATTTTGCCGCGATAGTAGATGACGACGATGACGTTTCCGAAACCACGAGAGATGACGATGACGTTTCTGTGACAGCGGGAGACGATGACGTTACCGTGACCGCGGGAGACGATGATAACGTTTCCGTGACCACGAGAGACGACGATGACGTTTCTGTGACAGCGGGAGACGACAATGACGTTTCCGTGGCCGCGGGAGATGACGAAGACGTTTCCGTGACCGCCGGAGATGACGAAGACGTTTCCGTGACCGCGGGAGATGACGTTGATGTTTACACGGGCGAGGGAAATTTTCTCATGATTTTGCCACGATCGCGGAGGACGACGATGACGTTTCCGTGACCGTGGGAGTCAATGATGATGTCTACACGGCCCCAAGAAATTTTCATTATTTTGTTGCTATCGCGGACGACGGTGATGGCGTTTCCGTTAGGGGCGTGCGAATAGTGATTTTCAACCTCGAGCCGAGCCGAGCTTTTTCAAAAATTTTCGAGCTCGAGCTTTTTCGAGCCGAGCTTTTTCAAAAATTTTCGAGCTCGAGCTTTTTTGAGCCGAGCTTTTTCTAGCGTCACCTTATCTAAATTATTAAACTTTTTTTTTTTTTTAAATGTGCATGTTTAGTCAATTTTTAAATACACACAATGTTATTTTAATATGTTTAAAAACATTGAGAATTGTCAAGACATCAAATAGTAGATAATCACGATAAGAACTGAACTGAACTAAATTAAGATGCAAGAAATAAAAGGATAATTAATTGAAGGCCTGGCGAGACATGCAGTGCAGACTGAGACAATAAGATGTCTTTCATAACAGAACAGCAACGCGACCTTGACGACAAAACAACTAGCAAGTCAATTACATTATTATGTAGCCTATATTGTAACTACTATGAATATTTAATTCTATTTTGTATAAATAAATATAGGGATGGACGGGATTGAATTTTTAGTTCGGGACGGGACGGGACGGGATTTTTATTTCCTTCCCGATTTTCGGGACGGGACGGGACGGGATTTTTTTTGTGCATAAAAAGAAAGTACTGTATTGCAGTTACCAAAAAAGACATACAGTACGAAATCAATTTTTACCATTTGTGGCACTGATCTATAAAAACCAAAAAATGGGTAACAATTTACAGGTAACTTTAGAAACTTGTGACTCGCGGGTCACGGGGTGATCGTCTGTATGACTCACGGTCACGGCGCGATCGTCGTCATGACTCGCGGTCACGGCGCGATCGTCGGTATGACTCGCGGTCACGGCGCGATCGTCGGTATGACTCCGCGATCACGGGGTTATCGTCGGTATGACTCGCGGTCACGGCATGATCGTCGGTATGACTCGCGATCACGGCCAGATCGTCAGAATGACTCCGCGGTCACGGCGCGATCGTCGTCATGACTCGCGGTCACGGCGCGATCGTCGGTTTGACTCGCGGTCACGGCGCGATCGTCGGTATGACTCCGCGGTCACGGGATTATCGTCGGTATGACTCCGCGGTCACGGGATTATCGTCGGTATGACTCGTGGTCACGGCATGATCGTCGGTATGACTCGCGATCACGGCTCGATCGTCAGCATGACTCCACGGTCACGGCGCGATCGTCGGTAGGACTCCACGGTCACGTCGTGATCGTCCGTAGGACTCCGCGGTCACGGCGCGATCGTCGGTATGACTCGCGGTCACGGCGCGATCGTCGGTAGGACTCCGCGGTCACGGCGCGATCGTCTGTATGACTCGCGGTCACGGCGCGATCGTCGGTAGGACTCCACGGTCACGGCACGATCGTCGGTATGACTCCGTGGTAACGGCGCGATCGTCGGTAGGACTCCGCGGTCACAGGGCGATCGTCGGTATGACTCGCGGTCACGGCGTGATCGTCGGTATGACTCGTGGTCACGGCGCTATCGTCTGTATGACTCGCGGTCCTGGCGCGATCGTCGGTATGACTCCGCGGTCACGGGATTATCGTCGGTATGACTCGTGGTCACGGCATGATCGTCGGTATGACTCGCGATCACGGCTCGATCGTCAGCATGACTCCACGGTCACGGCGCGATCGTCGGTAGGACTCCACGGTCACGTCGTGATCGTCGGTAGGACTCCACGGTCACGTCGTGATCGTCCGTAGGACTCCGCGGTCACGGCGCGATCGTCGGTATGACTCGCGGTCACGGCGCGATCGTCGGTAGGACTCCGCGGTCACGGCGCGATCGTCTGTATGACTCGCGGTCACGGCGCGATCGTCGGTAGGACTCCACGGTCACGGCACGATCGTCGGTATGACTCCGCGGTAACGGCGCGATCGTCGGTAGGACTCCGCGGTCACAGGGCGATCGTCGGTATGACTCGCGGTCACGGCGTGATCGTCGGTATGACTCGTGGTCACGGCGCTATCGTCTGTATGACTCGCGGTCACGGCGTGATCGTCGGTATGACTCCGCGGTCACAGCCCGATCGTCGTTATGACTCCGCGGTCACGTCGTAATCGTCGAAATGACTTCGTCTCCTGCGTTCGCGGACCTATCGCTCGCAATAACGGCGTTATCGGCACTCGCGAAGCGGAAAAATCGCCGACGATCGGACCAAATCCCGTCCCGAAAAATTCCCGAGTCAAATGTAATCCCGTCCCGATAATCGGGAATATTTTTTTCCCGAAAAATTCCCGAAATTTCGGGACCCGTCCATCCCTAAATAAATACAAAATAAATTTAAAAACACGTGATTATTCTTGTTGTTTTCCATGCACAAAATATTTTAGTTTTATCAATTGTATTAATCAAAAAAGAACATAGTTGGTTTGGATCCAAAAAGGTGGAGAGACAAGTAAAAAGTAAACTTATATTTATTAAAAAAGATATAATCGACATATGGAGGAAATAGACCAAAACACTAAAATTAATAGAATAACACACAAAGTAAACAAGAAATGAAATAAAGAACACGATGAATTAACACTGTCACTCAATTTTGTTATCTAGAAGGGTCGGCGAACTAATCAATAAATAGCCAAAACCAGTTTCCTCCCCTTCACAGTCTCACCCTCCCCCCCTCCCACCCTAAACCGGGAGGCCCAACACTTTGTCCTTGAAACACCTACGTCCTTTGTACCCCTATGAAACAATAAACCCTTACACCCGCGTTGCTGTTTTGACAACAGGTTTATGAATGTGATCACTATTTTTCATTTTCAAGAATTAACTATCAATTATTATTATTTGCAAGTTACAAATAGGAAACTACATCACATAATGGTATTCAATGACCCATGTATTATTATCAAAAATTAATAATTCATTACTTATTTTGACAAGCATTCATTACAGCACGCACCACTTATTGATACATATAATCATCAAGGTAACTGTTACTTTATACAAAATAAAATAGGTAAAAAATTGTGTGGCCAGTCAAACTTTATAAACAAACATTTTATTCTATAAAATACAGATGGTAAATAGGGGTTGGTTTAAAGGAAATAAAATACAGATAATTAATTATTTTGATAAACATTAGAAAGGTTATGGGATTGATTGAACTAAAATAACTGCAGGGAAACTTATAAGTAGAAAAGACGTCAACCAATCTGTTTAATCAGTACATTGTTAGAGAGAGAGAGCAGAGAGAGAGAGAGAAAGAGAGATAGCAGATAGGGGCGTTTGATAAGGAATCTGAAAAAGTAAACAAACAAGGGAAACCAACACGACACTCGTTTACAGCCTTATTGTGTCACCCACTTCATTTGCACACGTGACCACTTTTTAGAATTCCTGAAATAGTTTATTGGTATAATCTCCCCTCCCACACAAGGCGCAGTGCTCAGTGCGCACTGTAGGTTGTCACGGCAACCGTGTGTCGTCATAGCGACAAGCCAATCACGCACTCGCACTGCGTTGTATATTATGATACGAATAGCTGTTAGAAGGACAACGCGATAGGTGGTCGTTTGTCTCTTTCCTATCTCCTCAAAATTACGATCGATAATCATTGCGTCTTGACTGAGCTGAGGTTCGTGCTTATCAAACCTCGAATGCATGAACAACGTAGAATTGTGATAACATTGTTTTCAATTATGACCCAAATTAAGTGTTTTGACTTTGTATTAAAAGCTCGGCTCGAACTTCGAGCTTTTTCAAAATGCCACGAGCCGAGCCGAATAATGAAAAGCTCGACCAAAAAGTTTGAAGATTCGAGTTCTCGCACACCCCTAGTTTCCGTGACCGCGGGAGACGACAATAACGTTTCCGTGACCGCGGGAGATGACGATGATGTTTCCGTGACCGTGGGAGACGACAATGATGTCTACACGGCCGAGGGAAATGTTCATGATATTGCCGTGATCGCGGACGACGACGATAACGTTTCCGTGCCCGCGGGAGATGACGGTGATGTCTAAACAGCCGCGGGAAATGTAAACAGCCGCGGGAAATGTTCATGATTTTGCCACGATCGCAGACGACGACGATGACGTTTCCGTGACCGCGGGAGACGACAATGACGTTTCCGTGACCGCGGGAGACGACAATGACGTTTTTGTGACCGCGGGAGACGACGATGATATCTGCTCGGCCGCAGGAAAATGTTAATGATTTTGTCACGATCGCGGACGACAACCATGACGTTTCCGTGACCGCGGGAGATGACAATGACGTTTCCCTGACCGCGGGAGATGACGATGACGTTTCTGTGACTGCGGGAGATGACAGTGATGTCTAAACAGCCGCGGGAAATGATCATGATTTTCCTGCGATCGCGGACGACGACGATGACGCGTCCGTGACCGCGGGAGATGACGATGACGTTTCCGTGACCGCGGGAGACGACGATGATGTCTTCACGGCCGCGGGAAATGTTCATGATATTGCCGTGATTGCGGACGTCGACGATAACGTTTCCGTGACCGCGGGAGATGACGGTGATGTCTAAACAGCCGCGGGAAATGTTCATGACTTTGCCGTGAATGCGGACGACGACGTTCACGTTTCTGTAACCGCTGCAGTCAATGGTGATGTCTAAACGTACGGTACGCGGAAGATTTCATGATAAAAAAAAACCAAATTTGCTAGTTAGAATTTTTTATTGCTGCATTATTTCTTTACTTGAAAACACCACATTATCATAATGCTACTTTATGACAAAGACAGGGGTTGGTGTAGTATTATTTTTAAAATTTGGTTATGCTATAAAAATTGGTATCGGTATCAAGAATCGAGAATCGATACATATTGGTATCAACACCCACTAATTGTTGAAAAAACTAGTCTTGAAAAATCTGGAATTAGTCTTGAAAAGTCTGGAATTAGTCTTGAATTTTATAATGGAAATAAACTAGACACCCTGGTTATTGTTTGTGCTTGTCAACTTCTCATAAATCTCCCCTCCTGTCTTGGTCACAGTAGCTGTGTGGACAAGTCTCCTTCATCTTACACTTGTTGGTGTTTTTATTTTGTCCGTTATTAATTATAGTATTTTTTGTTTTGTTTTATCCAATTCAACGGACTAATCAAATTTACATTAGACATTTTCCTAAATACAAGCAATGGTTCTCAAATACAATCAATAACTTCTCAAATAAATATGGAAAATTTGTATTTTAAGCAATTTATTAATTTGCAGCCAGTTGTAGAGCCAGCCATAGAAGAACCAGTTGTTGCACCTCAAATACAGCCTTCCCAATTAGAAACCCTGGTAAGATAATCTTTACTAAGTATCTTTACAAAATTGTTATTTAACCAAACTGATATACTTTAACTGTAGGCTTAACTTACAAGTTATAAAACTGAAGACGTAAGATTTATAGAATAGTGGTCATTTACATTGTTATTCCTGTTGAATAACATGAAGGAGAAATTTTTGAGGTGGGTTAACATTTGAAAGTGTGACTATTTAGAATTTTTCTGGGAGTTTGGGCGCTAGACCAACAAACAAGCCAAATTTCAAGTATCTTGTTCATCTAGAAGTTGTCTAGAATGGCTGTACCCGAGTCAATCAGTAATTTCATAATATGTCTAATAACTTAATTAATACATCAGATATGGGCCTTTTTCTTGTAACTTTTTACAGCTGTTGAAGTTAATTTTTAAATCATAGAACCGGGGGTTTCCTTACAAAAAAACCATTATAATGGATGAACACGAAAAATAAACATGCTGTGCACCACTTTCCTACTTCCCATTATAAAACCGGCAAAAGCATTGGTTTTTGTAATCTCCAAGACAATCAGAAGTCAAAATTTGTTACGGTACCTTTCAGTGCATACTAAAACTAACCCCTAGCAAATGCTGGACCAGAGCTAGTTCTCTCAATCTCTAATTGCAAAGAATGAAAATTAAACAAACCAATACTGGCATTTTGCTTTCTAAGTAGGTTTGCTAAGTGTAAAATATTGGTGTTCTACTTTTTACCTATCAAAGTAATCTTAATCTATAAAACTTGACTCGATTTATCTTAAATAATGATTGAATTAATATTGAGGTTATATACTTATGTTATCTGTAACTCATGATCACACAAAGAATAGATAGTTGCTTTCATAACAAAATAATAAACTTGATTTTCTGAGTTTCTCTATTCTGACTAGGCCTATTTTGTTTTCAGCCTCAAGACAAAAGGGCTGTTACACCAGATTTTGCTGCATTATCTTCTCAGGTAAATCAACTATAATTACAGGATTACATGTGTAATATTGCAAAATGTAGTAAATTAACCATGACATTGACTGCTATATTGTAGAACAACCTCCCAATCACAGTAAAATTAAGTTTGGAAAACTAATTTTAGGCCTACTGAAATCAAATAACTTTTAGAACTTAATCCTAATAGACAGTAACACTTTCACAGACTTGTATAACACAGAAGCTTACACAGAATCAGAAGCTTATGTCTTTTCTGCAATAAATAAAGAACCTTTAAAATTCAACAAATAAGATTTTTGTCACAAATTAAAATTATTTTGGTTTATTTTTGTTTTGTGATTTTGTAGTTTATGAAACAAAGATAGAAATTGCTAATATTTCAAAGTGTTATATTTTAAGCTTAAACTAAACTAAAGAAGGAGAAATTACCTATAGGATAACAGTATTTTTGTAATATTTTGAAAAACTCACTTTTCTTAACACGTTCAGAGCTGACTACATCAATTGATGTAGTCGCGAAACGAGCGCTCCTATCGGCCTACACCAATTGATGTAGCTGTGCAATCCCCACGACATTAGTTCAGTATGAGCTCAGTCATTGCCGGGGAACGTTAAAATCGTTGCTAGCCTGTAGCTTAGAATGTGAGCTTTATTTCGGTGTAGGTTGGTACTAAAATTTCCCGTAAAATCCCGTCTGACAATACTTTTGTCCCGGTTTCGGGGATTTTCTCTCTTCAAGCCACATTACAAAGCCACTGACTACTGATCCAGGCAGAGCTGCTACCTTTGGGTGTTTTAGGGAACTACGTCCAATCTCGGGTTAACGTAGTACAATCACCGATGCTCTTTTCTTATTCGTTAGATTGAAATATTTGAATGCCAATTGCGTTCGCTCTTATGCTGCCGCGCTGGGACTTCGCCCGGGCCTCGCCGCCATTGGCGAGCGCCTGTTGGAATGCCTGCCGCACTGATATAAAAAGTGCCTAATTTTTTAAAGTCTGCTGGCCAAAATTTGCTGCTGCAGGAAGACCATCCTGAATTGATCAGACCAGGTCAATAATGATAACTGTTCCAAAGTCTTGGGCCAAAATCAGGTCGGGCAAAAATCAGGACTGGCCAACATTGGGTTGGTTTGAAAAGTGCTGTATTTTTTACACTAATTTTGTTACTTACTAAATTGGTCTATAAAATATTTTTCACTGACTCCCATGATCTACTTGATTCAATTCAGTTTCTACAGCATTATTCCTTAGACTATGACTCACTCAAAGTCAAAATCAATAACAGGGCTCTATGTTGTGATTTCAGTTGGAATCTACCAGCAGTGGTGGAGAGGATAGTGATTCCAAGGTAAAAATATAAAAAATAAGTTGTTAATACAGTAAGTTTACAATGAAAACTTGTTCCTATGTAAAGTATTTCATCATATTCATGATCAAGCAAAAACCACACATTAATCCAAATGTTAATAATATTGTAATGAAGTATTAACAAGTATATTTTCTAAAAACTGTTTGGTTGTAGTTTGATATTCATCAATATGCCTCTGTTATTTTGATCCCTAGGGAACCAAAGGCAAGAAACCAGAGATTGCGACTGTGATTGCTCCTTACCAAGCGACCAGCCCTGAACAGCTGAGTCTGCAGAGAGGTCAGCTGGTCTTGATAAGGAAGAAGACATCCACAGGCTGGTGGGAAGGAGAGTTACAGGTAGGCCTATGTTTACTGTCACTGTAAACCATGGGCTATAATGGAACAACAATTCTCTTTACCGCTAAATAACTTTTTCCTATCAAATAGGGTGCAAATATTAATTTTATTAATATAATACAAAATAGTGATAAAATTGTTTTAAACCCATATTTATATCTCTTGTCTGGTTTTGTTTATAGAAATCCTTCCTTAAATTAAATTCGTTCAAGCCCTAGAAACAACTGTGGAGCCAGATAATTTGTTGTATTGACTACAGACTACTTTACTTTCAATTATAGTGTTAAATTTTGGAATCAAGAACAGTTCTAATACAGAGTGGCCACAGACAGGAATCCCGGGAAGACAACATCATAAAAAAATGAATTACAATCATTTGTTCTATAATGAGGTGTCATATGATAGGTTTATTATAATTTGGAATTATGTGTAAACTTAATGTATTGAGAATCATGTGGGAATTTAAAAATTCTCCAAGAAAAAACTGATTGAAGTCTCTGGTTGTCACAATTGAGAACACCTTCTGCGGTAACTGCAAAGTCGTAAACATTTTTTGCGGTCATGGCAAAGACGAGAAAACCAACAAACAACACCCCAATTCAGCAATTAATTAAGGAGAAACAATAGATAACCAACAAGTAATAGCTACTACTTAACGATCAACAGTGACCATAATTTTTATTTTCAAGTTGTAAAAGAAGATGAAATAACCCAATCTATAACTTTTGTAAAAATTATTGACAGGATTGTTGCAAAACGACTATTGTGTCACCTTGAACAACACAGGCATCTCACCAGCCAACAACATGGTTTCCTTTCCCTTAAATGCTGCCTAACAACCACAGCCCAAAGAGCCATATCATATGAGCGCTATTGCCGCCGCATTCATGCCGCTCCAACCCGGTAGTAGAGTTCTAATGGAGCTAGTCATACGGACGCTAAAGCCGTCGGTGAGTCCGTGTTAGCCAGACTGTAAACGCTGAGCGCTGCCAACGCGGACGGTCGCGTTAGCGACTTATTAGTTAGAGGCCTAAATTAGTTTCATATATGCATCGGGACGTATCGATGCATGCTGAATCAAATAACAATTTGATGTTTCGAATGGAAATTTTGATGCATTTTCGATGCATCACACACCACTAGTTCTGTGGCTACCCTGCTTTTTTGTCCTGGTAACAATCAATGTAACTAGTTTTAAAGTTTTAATATTAATAAATAAAAAAGTTTGTTTTCTTCTAGTACTTTTTGCTAGTATTATTTAGGTTTTACATCCTCTTAACATCCTCTTAAGTCAATCATGCAAGTATGAAAGTGCAAATAATGTAATTACCAATTTTAATTGTAGGCAAAAGGCAAGAAAAGACAGGTGGGTTGGTTCCCTGCCTCCTATGTGAAGACGTTGGGTCCCAAGTCTGGGGGCTCACTCAGGTCGGGCAGAGTAACACCTTCCGCTGAGCCACCTTCCACAGGTAAAGACTTTGTAACCATAGTAAAAAAAACAATAAATTATCTATGATATCTTGTTGTATAAAAATAAATTCTAGTAGTATCCCGAGGTTGCATTCTTGATTCTTCATTAATTTAATGTCACCTGTTTAGTAGCTACATTATTATGACTAACGATAATGCAGTAGAACCTCAATTAACCGGGGACGGATCAACCAGGCGCCAGACTAACCGTGGTCAATAGATGCCTATAAAATTATGTTAGATAACCTCATCATATTTAAGAAAAGTACCAAGAAAATTTTATAAGTTGTATTTTCTTTAGTCTAATGTGTTGAAATGCATTGCATATTTAACTATTCCTGCCCATTATTTATATGCTGTAGGCTCCCACGTTATTGTTTTTGAAACATAATTGAACGTTGATCGTTGATTTCAAATGTTAAATTACTGAAACAAGGTTAATGACTTAACATATCATGACTGCGCAATAGCATAAGTATTGTATTTTGATGATGTAATATGTAATTTATCACATTAACTCTATGTGTTTTTAATGTACATTTATGACATATTGTGTTAACTGTGGTTTTCAGTTATCTGTGGCCTCCCTCCCCTCCATTACCCAGTGAGGTTCTACCGTATAACAATAAAGAGTTATTCATTTATGCATTTTTTAAATATAAATTTTGCTACCGATTCTAAGCTTTTATTGAAATGATTAAAGTAAGTAGTGTATGAAATATAAAATAAAGCGTAGTTAAACATTAAACTAACAAAGAGTAGTTAGCTAATTAATAAGTGTTTAAACATTTTTGTTTTTATTTAGATGCTTAAATGCATTATTGTTCACTATATCAAACAACCAAATTTATAATTTCAATTGTTATTACATTAAATGAACTGAATGCCAGATGTAAATAATTAGTAGGAAATTACCTTTGAGTGAATGAGTTTTGAGTTGGTCTAACCAATGTAGGACAGTAGTGCTCATTCTTAATTTTTTTTAAGGTTGCCATTTTGGTCCTGAAGGATAGACTGTTGACGTTTGGACTATTGTTTATTTTATGATGATTAACAATGTTTTCTAAAAACGGATTTCAAAAACAATGTTCATCAAGTTCAATAATGGATAGTTAAAAGACCAGAGGTTTGAACTGTTTCCAATTAAAATAAGTTGGTTGTCTAATGCATGTATTATTTATACACTCTAAACAGTATAATCATGAATATAGAGATACACACTTGGCGTTTTATAAACATTAATGTGCAATGATTGTTTTATGATGTCACAGAGAAGGTGATAGCTCTGTACCAGTACAAGGCTCAGAATGAAGATGAGCTCAGTTTTGAGAAGGATGATGTCATCACAATCATCTCTAAAGATGAGCCGGCCTGGTGGAGAGGGGAGTTGAATGGATCCATTGGTCTGTTCCCTAGCAACTACGTCGCTCCTCTCTGTAAGTAGCCTATTTTAGTGTTCTGCTGTAATAAGTTATGATATTTAAGTTATTATATTAATGATAAGTTATATTAATGATTTATGATAGTTAAGTTTGCCCAATCCGACATCATCGGTTATAAGTTTCCTACTCTGTAACCAAACAATAAATAATTCTCAACTCAATCCATCGAAGTTAGTAAGAGAACAGGTTATCCTCACAAAAAATGTAAATACTTAACAGCTAAATCATACAAATATAGATCAGACGGTACTTTCCTGTTAAAGGGAACATTCATTATTATCGATTATTTTTTCGATGTATCGATATTTTTGTTTTCCGATCCATTAAAAATTGACAACAACTAACTGATCTTGTTTAGGCTAAAATAGTCTATTATATGGATTAAGAAATGAAACTGTTCTAAGCTAACCTGACATAACCAACCATACTTGCTGTACCATTTAAAAATTCCGTTTGGGTTTGATAATAGAAAAGGCAAGTTAAACACGGAATTTTTCAATGTTACAGCAAGTTTGGTTAGTTATGTTAGGTTATTTTTTTTTATCAGTTTAATTTCATTATTGTTTGTTGATACTGAACAATATTTATTGTAGTTGTCAGTTGATATGTTTCAATTTGTTAATATCGATATATCGAGAAAAAAATCATCGATAATAATGAATGTTCCGTTTAACAGGAAAGTACCGATCAGACATAGTAGGTTTAACCCTTAGAGTGCCAGGCGAGAAATAAAAGTAACGCTCAAAAAATGCCGATGATTTTTCCCGAAGGTCGCGCTAAAAATGCCGAGCGCGATCTGGCGATTTTTAGGTTAAAATTTCGTAAAAATCGAATTTTCGATATTTCGACCAACGAAAATCGATGTATCGCATCTAGTAACTTTCGACTCAATGTTAATATATGGGTTAAAAGAATCCGAGTATCCATTCGGTTGTTATGACAACTGTTCGATCATTACGAAACGTCCGGTCAGCCGGACTTTGGCACTTTTGGCTCGTTCTAAAAACGTCCAGTCGGCCGGACGTCGGCACTTTTGGCTCGTTTTAAAAACGTCCGGTTCCCCGGACGTTGGCACTCAAAGGGTTAAATGCAATTGTATAATTAATGTAACAACTCCAAAAAATGCAAAATTCTGTACTAACACTTGAATGGCTTTGTGTAGCTTTTCTAACTTGCATCTGCTCAGATGGATACTCTATACTTTCAGCAGACTAGGGAAGAGCACGTGAACAAAATTTAATCTCACCATTCAAGTGTCTGTATAAATAGTATTTTCATCAATAGTACAAAAAAACTACAAAAAAAAACCTTAATTTCAAACTACTTGAAATTAAAATTTGCATCCAAACTAGGTAACATTTAACTTTGTATTATCCAAGAAACCGCAGAGTGGAGTGATAAAGAGTTACATCGGCTGGAAACTTTGTATGATATATTTGAATTTGAATTCTTCACCTTAATCACATTATCACTGTGCAAGTCTAAATATCGGTGAAGTTTCTGTTTCTAGAAATTGAAAAAAATTTAATGGTTTTGTTGACAACGAATACAGGATTCATGTATCATCAAAATATTTTCTAATACAAATGTCCGTATTTTACACAATGAAGCTGTCCTCGTCTTTTTTTTATGTTTAAGGATAATATTATTACGTTGTATCAGTACCATTGTCTGTAAGGTCTGTAAGTTAACTCGTGACACCACGCCAACTGATTGAATCCGTGATAAAGAACGAATGTGATAAAGACTTCAACTGTTATTCAAGAAGGAAATTCTCCAACACCTGTATCATCAACATACAAGATTTTCAAAAGATAACCATATGTTAAGAAATGTTTACATTAACCTAATATTGGTAAAAATAAAATCATTACGATGTAAATATAGTTAATAAAAACAAGGGGTGTTTGATTGTTTCAGAGATTTGAGGGGCCCCCCTGCCAACGCAAGCCTCTACGCTTAGAACCGTGCAATCTCACTAGAACCCTCCCTCTTGTTTGCGTTTTCTTTATTATTCAACCATAAATGAACATGATCAAGTATTCATAGTTAAAAACTACCATACAAACAAATAGCAAGATTGTGTTCTTAAGGTAATGCTCGCTAGTCACGATAGAACCCTCCATGACTTAAGCATTTTTGTGGAGCAGTAGGACAATTCATGTAGTTTTGGAGGACGAAATATAAAATATAGCAATTTATTGTAATTATTTATGAAGTGATGTTTTAGTTTAAATACGTTATAGACAGCCTGAAAATACTGCTAATTAAACGAGATGATGTCAATGTTTTTATATACTCATGTGGGAAGTATTCCTTGGAGGTGGACATTCAATTCTGATGGATTTTGATTTTAACAGCATTATAAAGTCATTAGTTTAACTTAATTTCTTTCACCTTCTGAAAGATATTTTTTTCAGTTGCAGCTATTTTAATATACATTTTGTAAGAATTTTACACTTTTTTTACCTTCATTGTTACACAAATGCAGAGTTTTAAGATAACTCCAGTTTTTTTTTTTTTTTTTTTTTTTTAAATAGGGGTCTATCACCTTAAAATAGGGTCGATTTCCTTTTAATGAACTCTCTGTTAAAGTGGTTAGAGTTTTTAACTGTTATCAGTGTTAATGAGGTGTGCTTGGGCCCCACCAGGAATGCATGACAACTAGGTGTCACTATAGTCAAGGCATGTTGGTAGTGGGGCTGGCCCCTTGATGTGCTGCGTAAGTGTCATTTTGTTTTGTCTTTGCATGAAATCCTAAATTTTTTTATATAATTGAATGGAATTCAATGTTTTTATTCTAGTCTGAAACATCTTTTAAAATAGTTTTTGAATATATCAATTTGTAAAGTTTTTTCTTTTTTGTTTTCTTTTTTAATTTGATTATGATTTAATGTATTTTTCTAGTTATTTTTAACCTAATGCCTATTTTTGTAGATTATTTTTAAAAGCAAATGTTTAATCAAATAAAACCTTATAACAATATCCAATACACTTAGGAAATATATATTTTTTGCTATATTGTTAATTCAGTTTAAAATTCCTATTTTAACTGAATAAATTAATCATAAAACCTCAACCTAAAATTTCATTTTAATTGTTAACCCCAAAAGAAATCTGATGGGAATTGCTGAGGAAATTGAGCCTGCACTATTATACTATAGCTGAAGTTAAACATTAGGCGGTAGGTAGTACATATATTGCCATTACTAGTTATAAACTTATCTCAATGAATGAATTTATTATTTTAAAGTTTTAAAGCATATCAAACACCTTTTGTTTGTTTTTATCACAGTTATTGATGTAGAATTATAATCTCTGTTATAAGCTTGTTGATTTAAAGTTTGTTAATGAATTGTTACATTTAATTAGCATCGAATGTTATGTTAAGGTAAATGTAGAAGATTATCTCAAGATGCTGCATATTTGTACTGCTAGGTATAGGCTACTACTCAAAACTTGTGAAAATGTTGATAAATTGTTAGTAAAATAGACAAATGTGTTTAAGACTTGTATGTTGTTGTTGTCATGTGATATTGTGAAGCAAATGTTTACTTTATTGTTGATGTATGATGATTTTCCTGCATGTATGATCGTTTGGTTTTGTTTAATAATTATTTCTCATTATCTTGGGGGTTCCATTTTAATTTATCTAAAAGTGTTTCACTTTACCTTTTACCTTACTTAGTAAGACTGAGAGTAAAACATTCTAAAATATAGTTTACTTACTGTTGACCCATTCTTTGGATGCAAATACTGATTGTTAGAATATAAGATCAGCCGGTCAGGTACATTTTTGTATTGTTAACACTAAAAAAGTCCACCTGGAATTTTAAAGGTAATAGTGCAATAAAATCAAATTTAAAGTGTTATTTTATGGATCATTTTTGCATTCTTATTAAATTCTTTCAATATGGTGTTTTGAATAATCATACAACTAGTCAGTTCCAGTTGTTTTAAAATTTGTTTATAACTTTATAAATTGATTGTTTACCTATGTAATGTTCTATCAATGGAATGGAATTTATGATCCAAGTAGGATATAATGTACAATACAGCATCTCTGATGTGTGTTTAAGTTTAAACTAGTTTTGATATTTTAGGAGTTTTGATTGCTTTAATTGTTACATTAGTTTAAATTGTAGTAAATTATTATTGTGGGATTTATTTATATGACTGTTTTGTCCACTATTGTTCTTTTTAAATATAGTTTTATTAATATTAATCATCGTGATTTCATATAATTTTATATTTAGGCCATATAATGAATTGTTTAACAGGGTTTAATATTACTTTTCACCACTTTCATTGTAATAAGCCATAAATATAGTCATTTACCATATATTTTTTTTGATTTTTTTCAATCCTGTGCTAAAAACTGGACTTCTTAATTTTTAGTCTTGGGCTAAACAAACTGAGTGTTGGTTGCATAATAACACGTTTCTCTTTGTTTGTTGCCTATTGTATTTGATAGATATTTTAGTAATGTAACATTTTAATGCAGTAACTCAAGTTTTTTTTATTTAATCACAATCATCATATAAACAATAACAACTGAACAGAACATATGTAAATTAACAAATATAGTTATAAGCCAGTACATTTGGAATGGACACATCAATCCTCCCCCTTAAATTTAGAAGGTAACATGTGGTTGATATGCCGCCTCCATATAGATCCATCATCCATTTCAAGAACGTAAATTAACTGTCCATCCTTGCTCTTTACTTTACCAAACATCCACTTGTTTTTCTTGTCTCTGAAATCATAAGCTTGAACTCTTTCCCCCTTTTTAAAGTCTCTTATTCCCTTTGCACATTTAAAGTCACTGTTTGAAGGTGTGTTATTTGTTATCATCAAATCTAGTCTCGTCCTCACATTTCTCTGAAACATTAGGAATTAAGAATTTGATCCAGTGGAGTTTCTTGATTGTCTCATTTGCATCAAGAATCTCTGTAACTTAATTTCCATATTCCCTCCTTCATCTTTCATGG